AATAGGGTGGATGGGCCATCACTTGAAAATGTCCTCGCTCTTGCTCTTCTGCTTCTTGCCCATGCCTCCGCCGGCGACCGACCCCCCGGCCTCCGCCGCGCTTCTCCTCTCTCCGCCAAGGGCCCGACCAGCCACATCCACACGCGCCCGGGCGCATATGGGAGTTGGGGGGGGAGAGGCTCCAGGGCGACGCCTCCTCCTCCTCCGCCTCTCTCCAGGAGGCAGCCGCCGATGACGCGCGCAGGCGCTCTCGCCCTCCGCCTGCCCTGAGCGCGGGGGACAGAAGGGCCGAGCGAAGTCTCCGCGGAGATTCCCGGGGAGGGCGGTCGCCTCCTCTCGGACGGAGGGGGAATAGCAGCCTCAAGAAAGGGTTGGCGGAACGACGCCGCTGACTGACTCAAGAGGCAAGAGACAGGAGCGAGGTGGGGTGGGGGGGTTGCTCAGCCGAGGAGACAGCTAAGCAGGCCTTTTGCGGGTGTTAGAGGACTCGGGAGGTCCCGAGGGCCACCGGTGCAGTGGTCCCCAACCTTGGGCCTCCAGACGTTCGTGGACTTCAACTCCCAGAAATCCTGGCCAGCAGAGGTGGTGGTGAAGGCTTCTGGGAGTTGTAGTCCAAGAACATCTGGACGTCCAAGGTTGGGGAACCACTGCTGTAGGTGTTACTTGGCCGTAGCTACCACTGCCCCCCCCAGCTACCATGCCTAGCGTTGGAGAGACGACAGAAGTCACAGCCCAACGACCTCTGGCGGCCCCAATCTCTGGGTAGAGAGAGTGCCTCAATCGGCCCACGGGGTTCTCTCTCTCTCTCTCTCTCTCTCTCTCTCCAGCGGCACTCTAGTCCTTATTCCTTTACTGATGGCGCTCCCTAGGCGGAAAGATGTGCCTAGCCTTGCGTTACTCAAAAGGAGATTTAAATGAGACAGGACTCTTTAAATTAAAAAAAAAAACTTGAAAAACCACGTCTGTTTCTTTCTCGAAATACGCATTCACAACAGTGCCCCGCCCCGCTCTGTGACGACTAATGTCTGCGACGGCAGCAAAAGGCCCGCCTAAGTGCGTCACATAGTGACTTCGGTTGAGCGCTTTTACCAGTGGAGGGGCGGCGGCGGCGGTTCAGGGCGACGAGGCCTCTAGGTGCGTGGCCACGCTGGGCAGCGTCTCCTCCTGTGGCCTCTTCTGCCGTGAGTATCGGGGGGCAGGTGGCGGCGGCGGCCGCCGTCGTGTGGGGAGCCCTGCCTAAATGGGTCCGGCCGTGGAGGTTTCTCTTCTTTGGACGTACGGGGTGTGTTTTTGAGCCGCAGGTCGTGTCTTCGGGAAGGAAACCCAAATCGGATCCGGAAAATGAGAAGCATGCTCTTTTGTGTGATTTTCTTTACCTCGAACTGCTATTAAATCACGCGTAAAGCAACCAGCTTTTGAAAATGCACTCCTTTTTTTGAGCCACAGGATTTTTAAAAATGGGGGGGGGTGTTTTTTTCCAGATAATGGAGTTTCATGTCTTTTGCCTCAGACAGATTAAATCTCAGATCACATTTGTGTCCATAGACACTGCATAATTGAGTTACCTTGCAAATAGTATTCTGCACACATGTAGCTCTTTTTTTCCTTTTTTATTTTATTTTATTTTGCTTGATGAAGAGTCACTTGCCCCACACAAAAATGCAACTGGGCTCATGGTCATTTAACTTCATTAATGCTAACAGCTGACTTTCCCAGACACACTGGATCCACAGCTACATGTGGTGCTGCCTGGAAAGTCTGTGGCTACCTGTATGCCTATACAGTATGTGTTCTTAATAGTTTTTTAAAAATAGAAAAGGCTTTTATGTGGTGGTTGCTAACTCAGGAGAAATAATCCTTCTGACTCACATAGGAGAGTGCTTTTGGTGCCAACTATGGTGTCTAGAGTGACACATCATCTTCACGCTGTAGCTGCTAGTGGTCATTGAAAGCCTTTCATTAACTTCCTTTCATTAAAGCAAAAAGCATGCTGCTCATATATACTATGGTGTCTAGAGTGACACATCATCTTATCTTCACCCTGTAGCTGCTAGTGATCATTGAAAGTCTTTCATTAACTTCCTTTCATTAAAGCTAAAAGCATGCTGCTCATATTTTGCCCCATAGTGATTCAAGCACTCTGGGCAGTTTACAAGTTAATTATGCAGGCTACACACCCCCCCCCCCAGCAAGCTGGGTACTCATTTTATCGACCTTGGATGGATAGAAGGCTGAGTCAAACTTGAAACCCAGGTTGTGAGCACAGTTTTGGCTGCAGTACAGCAGTTTAACCACTGCACCACAAAGCTCTTATAAGCTTGTCGTTTAGTCATTAAGTCGTGTCCGACTCTACGTGACCCCATGGACCAGAGCACGCCAGGCCCTCCTATCTTCCACTGCCCACTGGAGTTTGGTCAAATTCATGTTGGTTGCTTCAATGACATAAGCTAACATTGTACAATAACTTAAGCCATTACATGTCTCCAGTATGATGTAATATATGTAGAATTCGCTATTTAAAGTCTTACGGTTACTCTACTAATGCTTTTAAATTGGATTAGAATTTTAGTGACTGAAAATGTGGAAGCAGATTAAATAATGCATGGAATCTGATAATAAACATATGTTTTTCAAATTACACGTTTCCCTTTCTGTGGAATGTTCAACTTCAGGAGATCTTGGGTGTGCTTTCAGTTCAAAATTCGCCTTACGCATATCAATCATAGACTGTGGGTTCAGTATGTGCCTCTTCTCTAGTAGACAGGTGAATGTGGAATGTGTCCCTGAGAATAGGAAAAGTGAACTCTAATCCAATAATTGTTCCTTGAGGTTACAAGAATATACAGGATGCCATGAACAGCAGGGCCCTGTCAAGAGACTTTTATTTAATATATTAGCAGAAGATGCTTATACATACAGAAGATGCTTGGCCAATCACATTCCCAAGTTAAATATTTCAGTCGCCATGCGGAATCTACTTGCATCTTAAGTTCCCATTTCTCAAGGGTTAGGGTTAGTGAGTGCTGATGTTATTTTAATAAATGCCATTACATGGTACCTGACTCTGATTTACACTATGTTTTGTTTTCAGGTTTAATGCGTCTTCTGCTTATATTGGGGCAAAATGGCTGCTGATATGTTTTCAAAAGTTCTGGGGGCTCAGATGCTTCAGACAGCTAAGATTGTTGAAGAACAACTTGATGCTGAGATTGAAAAGTTGGATCAGATTGATGAAGATGAACTGGAAATCCTGAAACAAAGAAGGCTTGAAGCACTGAAGAAAGCCCAGCAACAGAAACAAGTAACCTTCCTGCGGCATAATAACAAGCATTCATAACACCTTTTAGGTCAGGAATGGGGAATCTTTGGCCCTTCAAATGTCTTGGCCTATAGCTCCTGTCCACACCACCTAACTTCACCAATGGTAAGGAACTGTTGGAATTACAGCCCAAAACATGTGGAAGGCCAAATGTTCTTATTCCAAGCACATCGTGCATGTTAATTTCTATGATTTTTACTCCAACAGCCGTTTTGGGTCCCTTGTTGGGAGAAATTCAGCTTATAAATAAAACTAATAAAATTAATAGTCTGTTTTAGTTTGACAATGCAGATGAAGCTGAAGCTAACAGGAGTAGCTTCTAGCAGTAAAGTAAGATTGGCAGTGAAGTCAAGGAGAATTGTTCACTATCGTGCAACTTGGACCTGTTTATGATTAATTATATGCCATCAAGTTGTTTCATAGGGTTTTCTAGGTATTAAGTACAAAGGAGTGGTTAGCAGTCCCTCTTTCTAATGGTGCTCTTGCAGTGCCTCCAAGGCCACACAGGTGGCAGAGTATGTAGTTCTATCAGCAGCACATACTCTGTGCAATTTCACCTGCCACATCTCATGGCAAGCAATGTGGGATTCACATTCCTAGCCCCTGGTTTTGCAGTCAGGCACTACAGACCACTGAGCTGTATCAGCTTATGCTTGTTTAGAAGTAAATTCTACTTAATTAAGTAGAGTTTACTCTCAAGCAGGTGTTCTTAGGCCTGAAGCCTTGCATATTTAGCTTGAAGTGCCTCAACACAGTTCAGTGCAATAGGTAAATTGGAAGGGGATCATTTTGGATCATAGTCTTAGCATATTTGCAAGGAAGCTGCATTGAAGTCAGTGTGACTTAATTCCAGATTAATATGCTTGAGGTATGCCTGTTAGCCAGTTTTGTACTCATCTTGTTGCAGCATATTTGTTATCAAAAACTTAGGTTTTTGAATAGTTTCTGCTAAGCCACTAAAACCAGAGCTGTCTGTCTAGATGTCATCTAACATTCTGGGAGAATTAACTTTATGTTCCAAAACAGCATGTCTTGGAAATGATGGGCTCACTGAAACTATCAAAATTGTTAGCATATGTTCTGTATAACATGGAGATTCTGTATTTATAAGACACTACTCGAAGAAGGTCCAAGAATTATAAACGTACACATCTGAAGAAGTGGGCTAACATCCCTGAAATCGTATACAACATCAAACATGTTGCCACAAGTCTCCATGTAGAAGTAGCTGTGTGGAAATATAAGCACTCTTCCTGAATTTCAAGGGTACCATGTATCTATTGACGTAACAAACAATGAGTAGAAAACACACACACCAACATTTTGTATTTCCAAACAGGAATGGCTTTCAAAAGGACATGGGGAATACAGGGAAATCCCCAGTGAGAGAGATTTTTTTCAAGAAGTGAAAGGGAGCAAAAATGTGGTCTGTCATTTTTACAGAGATTCAACTTACAGGTATAGTAAACTCATGGGATTTATAGTACATAAATATTTGCTAATATAGATCAGTTATTGAAAGTAATTATGTGTTTAAAGTTCATACGCCTAGGTTTGATAAAACAAAATTAACTGACTTAATGAATTTTTTGCTAGTATTGTAATTAAAGCATCTTAATATGAATCAATGGTCATCTTTTAGCTGAGAGCATGTTAAGTGCCCTTTTGCTGCTTAAACTTTCCTTTGCTTAATTAGAATGTGCAAACTTTCAGTCTCCTAGATTATAAGTATGGTCTGTTATTTTAGGCCTAATTGGAATAAATTTAACAGTGCAATTCTAAGCATTCCTTTCCCAGAAAGACCCATTACAGTACAACTTTTCTAAGAAGTGCATAGGATAGCAGTTGCATTCTTTACTGATTTCTGTAAATCTTAATACCCCAAGCCTAAAGCAGTATTATAACCATGATTATTAACCTAGTATTTTAGAAAGTTGGTTAAATTAGATTGGTATCTTAAATATTATTGATAAAAAATATAGAGAAAGCAGTAGTTTTCAGACTCTGTTGTACTTTTTTCTCCCCACTGTGCCTGCTTCCAAGGAAGAGCAAAACAAGGGTCAGCAGCATAAGTTTTGAATTAAACATTTGATTCTTTATTCATCTAGTGATCTGAATATTTATGTGTTACCATAAATAATAAATGTACCAACAATATGTATTTTGAATGATGATGAGTTTAAGCTAAGGAGCAAAATAATATTTAACATTGAGTTTCATCTTCGTGAAACACTTGATTTTCTGTGTTTTCTTTTCTTCAGATGCTTAATATTTGACAAACACTTAACAATACTTGCGAAAAAGCACATTGAGACCAAGTTTATCAAGCTAAATGCTGAAAAATCTCCATTTCTATGTGAGAGACTTCGCATCAAAGTAATCCCCACACTAGCACTTGTAAAAGATGGAAAAACTCAGGATTATGTGGTTGGTTTTACTGATCTCGGTAATACAGATGACTTCACCACAGAGACCTTAGAATGGAGGTTAGGATGTGCAGATATCATCAACTACAGGTAAAATACATGTATTTTTACAAAAAGGCATTGTGAAGATTTTAAAGATTCTAAAGACCTCATCACATTCTTTTCTTGGAAGCAGTGTGATATTTTCAAGTATTGTAATTGCACTTATATTTTTTCTTTAATAGTCCTGAATGTGACCAATCAGATCTACCTACTAGTTGCTTTCCAATAATGTGTTACTGATAAATATTATTCTCTATTTTTAATAGAGAATTTTTCAGTAGATTAATAAACAAAGCATAGGGACGTGGTGGCGCTGTGGGCTAAACCGCAGAAGCCTGTGCTGCAGGGTCAGAAGACCAAGCAGTCGTAAGATCGAATCCACGCAACGGAGTGAGCTCCCGTCGCTTGTCCCAGCTCCCGCCAACCTAGCAGTTCGAAAGCATGCAAATGCAAGTAGATAAATAGGGACCACTTCAGTGGGAAAGTAGCAGCGTTCCGTGTCTAAGTCGCACTGGCCATGCGACCACGGAAGCTTGTCTTCGGACAAACACTGGCTCTATGGCTTGGAAACAGGGATGAGCACCGCCCCCTAGAGTCGAACACGACGACAAAAATTGTCAAGGGGAACCTTTACCTTTACCTAATAAACAAAGCAGGCCAATTAGTGATTTATTTTTCTCCTAAATTTACAGATACATATTTTTAAAGAAAAACAGGAAGTGACTTGCATTCAATGTATTTTTATCTTAAGGCTATATTTGACCTTGTATGAAATTTTGGGAAAGCAACCTATTTGAACTGTTGTTTCCTTAATTGTAAAGTCTGGATTTGGCCTAAGTTTTGGTAAACTACAGATGAACTGGAGATCCTGTAGTGTCTGTGTATAAAAAGGGTTAAAGAAGGTTTTATTCTAGCTCCAGTTCTTTTTAATTTGTTAATTATACAGAAGTGTTCCTCGTATTAATCCTTTTCCCCCCTTTCTTTTTTAGTGGCAACTTAATGGATCCACCATTCCAGAGCCAAAAGAAGTTTGGAACCAGTTTCACAAAGCTAGATAAGAAAACAATCAGAGGAAAGAAATATGATTCAGATTCTGATGATGACTAGATATTACAATACATGTTTGTAAGCCATCTTTTCTTTTAAGCTTGATACATTTCTAGGAATGTTTTTTATAAAGCTGTTTGTTTAGAGAACATTTGCACATGATGCTCATTTTCTAACTGTTTTATATAACTCATGAAATCTGAAATATTTTTTCCTTTTGGGATGTCATTTCTAGGTCAAGGAAGGTGAGCCCTTTTGAACTGTGTCACATTTAGCATTTTGTTTCAAAACTAATCCTTTAAAAATGCTGTATACCATTTTGCTGTTGAAGTATTAATGAAGGTCTCCTGTCAAGAATTGTTGCAAAACTATTCTAAAATTATAATAACCTAATTGTTTGCCTGAAATTGCCATGAGTGAGGCATTGCCTATCCTAACTACAGTGCACTGAATATGATTAAACCATCCTAGACTCTCTTTGAAAGAATAATTCTGCAAACTGTACACTGCATGTTAAAGCTGAATCAGCAGTAAATAGCATATGGTAGAACTGAATTGAAACATGCCTTGCTTGCAGGATTATTTAATATAATTCTGTGGTTTGGAGAACAGGCTACTTGAAGCAACAATGAATATTAGTATGTTATTTTTAACTCCTGATAACAATAGGAAAGCAGTTTAATATAGTTTCTTGTACTGTAGTTCTTCAGTAATACACATTTTCTGGAAGAATCCCTATATTCTTTCAGTATTTTAAGAAGAGGGCTCCTTGTGAATCATTGAGTCAAACGTCGGGCCAAACTGCCCTGCTTATTAATCTGTTTCCTAGATCTATGGATCTCCCAATACCAATGGAAGACCATTTCTTTGCTGAATTGCCATGCAGAGGGTAATTGCAGTTGGGAAGGGAAAGGATAATTACACTCCTTTGAAAGTGTGTAATTTCAAAATCCTACTCCAAAATCCTGCTTATATGGCACTCACGTTTAGAGCATAAAGATATGATCAGAAGGGTTGTTCTCAACTTTATGACATGCAAGACAAGACATTGTGTGAAATGCAAAATACTAGTAACCACTCTTAAATTTGTATCTATAGAAATGCTGTAAATCACCTGAACATCTGTGTCATTTTGACTTGGCCCTCTAATCTTTTCAAGTGCCTAGCAGCACCCTAGTCACTCAAAGAAAAGTGAAAAACGGTATTGCAGGCAAATCGAGTGTGGTTGGCACTCTTTTGACTCCTATAAATAGCCCTCTTTTCTCCCAGTTTTCCTCTTTGGAGGTGAGAAAGCTTAAGATAGAGGAGGAATGCCTGGACACAACAAAAGGATGTCCATGAGGCACTGTCACATCCTTAAATCTGCAGCTGTGCCTGACCTTCTTTGTATCTCTCTTAGATGGAAACAAAAGGCAAGCTGCTTCCCAAAGACTGAAAGAGGGAGCACTAAGGGGAGATTTTGAAAATTTGAGGAATATGATTTTGAGAAAGAATAACAGTGTTGGGATAGTGACAGGGAAACAGCCAAAAGATTTAAGTAGGATTGGGGGTGGGGGGTTTCAATGTGTGTATGAGAGAGAATTCACTGGGTAGGCATCAGTGGTGGGGAGAGCCTATGTATCCCATCAGAGTAGCTGATATAGGAGAAGCAAAACCCATCAGGTATTCAGCTAAGCACTATTTTTCTTTTAACTTCATTTTTTATGATCATGTTAAGTCAAAATAAAGTTACTTGAATTCACACTGTTCAGAAGTGAGTGCATTTTTGCTCATATTGCTAAACGCTGCTGAGGTACATTGGTAACATCAACAAAAATGGCTGAAGCATTCTGTTATCTTAGATGCAACCCCCATATTTTATCATTTGGAGCAGCAAGGCTTTTTGCAGCTTTAATCGGTCTTGGGACAGTGACCATATTTCTTACGGGATGAGTGGAGAACACATAACTTCCTGAGGAAGCCCACAGCAGAGTCAATAAAGAACCACACGCTCATTCCTCAGCTCTTGACTGGCCTTTCCCATAGTAGCAAGAATATCTGGCCATTGTTTATCAGGGCCAGCAATTCCTCAATATATTGAATAGTTTTCCTCTTTGGAGGTGAGAAAGCTCAAGATAGAGGAGGGAATGCTTGAACAAAAAAAAATAGATATATTTTCAATATATTGAATGTACAGTTGTGTTCAAAATTATTCAACCCCCACTGAAATTGAATGTTTTGGCCATTTTGACATTGATTTTGATCATTCAGTCATCTTGCTTACATTTACATGAAAGAGGCACTTGTAGGTCAGAGAAATATAACCTTAAGTTTATAATGAAATAACCACAAATGTCTTTTCTGTGCTCACATCATTATTAGTTTTTATTCAACCCCCAAGTGACATTCAATCTTAATACTTAGTACAACATCCTTTTACAGTTATAACAGCAATTGATGTTATTTTATTTATTTATTTATTTATTGGATTTATATACCGCCCCATAGCGCTACAAGCACTCTCCGGGCGGTTTACAATTTTAATTATAAAGGCTACACATTGCCCCCCCAGCAAGCTGGGTACTCATTTTACCGACCTCGGAAGGATGGAAGGCTGAGTCAACCTTGAGCCGGCTACCTGGGATTTGAACCCCAGGTCGTGAGCACAGTTTTAGCTGCAGTACAGCATTTTAACCACTGCGCCACGAGGCTCTTTTATTATTTTATGTTATTTTAGTTGCATTTGGTTCTTTAAAACGTCCTTGTAGGATTTCATTTTGAATACAATTCCAAATGTACACTATAGTCCCTAAACCCCTTTACAGCATTGGGGGTTGAATAATTTTGAACACAACTGTATATTAGAAGGATGTCCCCCCCCCCCATGTACAGGAGTATTTGAGAACATTAGTTACCACACACACCCCTTGCAGTCTTAGTTGGCTCAGTTCAGAATTCTGGTACATTTTGTTTAAAATGGCTCAGAATTGATGCAGAAACATTGAGCATGACCTAAACGGCATTCCACTGTGCTCTGCAGGTGTTTAAAGTCTGGGTGGAGGGTCATCTTCCCGCATTCTGGTAATAGTTTATCAGTATACTGTACATCATAAATGTATCTACAGGAGGAGACTAGACTGAGAAACATTTTTGAACCATCAATTCATGGGCTTTGGTATGCATGGATGGTAGGGGTTACCATTCCTAATGTTTCTTCCACAATACCAATTTTCCACTAGAATACTTAACATAACAGCTATTAATTATCAACCCCTACTAACTGCAGACAATGAAGTAAATGGCACTAGAGAAAATAACAAGATCCAGATACAGTGGGAAGGGTTGCTCAGTTACTTCTTTATCCTTACAAATATACCTTTCTTCATGTTCTCGGACATGTGGTGCTCCCGTGCGAGAAGAACATGATAAAGAGCCATAAGTCTTCAGTTACGACCACAGAACGACAGTACTTGTGTTCTGCCCTGCCACCTCGCTCTGCACGAGCTTAGCGCGCTAATCAGCCTTTTCAAGGATCCCAAAGGGTGAGTAGGTTGGTCGAAATAAGATTACACCATGGGCTCAGCATTATCCTCTCCCCAGAAGGCTTTCGCAGATGAAGTGTTCTTTTTAATTACCAGCCATGGCCACCCTGCCACAAGGCAAAAGATGGCAGAATTAGTTTTGGCCATAGATTCATGTTGTCCATGGGTCCCTGAGAGTGGAACCCTTGACTTAGAACAATGGATGAAAGTTGGGAGCACGTTTCAAAACCCAAAAATTACTTCACACATTCTTTTTAGTTGGTGCAAAGTGAGGGCTTCTCTTAAGAATCTCTCTCCAAGGAACATTCTTTTTAATCAACAAATGGAATGTGGGGCCACATCAATGTACCCTCATTTGCCACAGATACTACCTCCAGCACCTAGTGCACCCCTATTGCCTTCTGCACCTCCATTGCCTCCTCAATATGATTCCTACCACAGTCAGGACGTGGGGATGTGGGCTGCATAGTCTTATTCAGCTGGTCCAGCTGGGCTATGATGGAGTTAAGCTGCTGACATATAAATGTAATCGTCTTTCCGGTGATTAAGCAATGCTCGCCGAGCAGAGATAAAAAGTGATTGCTAAAAGCGCTCTCGTTCTGTGAGGGCTGTTTGACTTGGTAAGTCAGGGAAGAAGACAGCTGGTCTTCTGCAGAATCTCTGCTTGGGGAGCCAGGAGAGCCAAGTTTGGTAAACTCACCCCCTGGATCTGCAGCGTCTGACCATGTCGGGCAATCTTCCAGCCGCCTCTGTTTAGATGACTTAGCCGGCGAGTTCCCTTGGCTGTGAGGGTGTTTGAGTCTTCTCCTCTTCCCCATATTTCCACGAAATATTATACCCAGAGAGAAACAGAAACGAGGAGGTAGGGAGGCAGCTTCTGTTGTTTTAGTAATCTGCCAAATATAGAGATTACGCCGGAGCTGTGCAGGATGTGTCCGCTCACGGCGCCATCTTGACCGTACGGTTCCGATGCTCCTTTAAAAATACCTCATGTGGTCACTCCCATAGCAGCTTCTCTGTCTGCTGCACTACTTGACTCTGGGGATACAGCGCACCCAATGATTTCTGCATTTCCTGTCATCCGAGGTACCCCTGCTGTCGCTCCAGCTGCTGCTGCAGGAGGCCAACCTGCCCTCCCTGGGGCGGCTGCGGTCCCGGACCGATATGAACCGATCCCAATGAAATTGATTAAGGACTTGTTGCAGGATGTTAAAGAATATGGCCCTCATGCACCCTACACCAAAGCCTTGCTTGACAATTTAGCAGAACAGAAGCTGACACCAAATGATTGGAAATTGGTTGTACGTTCCTTGCTGCCTCCAGCTCAGTCGCTGTTAATTTTGGATGAAATGCGACACTTGGCAACAGACCAAGCTGAACAAAATGCCCACTCAAACCAACAAGCCATAAACAGGGTTACCAGGGATCAACTTCTTGGTAATGGGCAGTTTCAAACTTCAGCCCAACAACTCGGCCTTTCAGACCTTGCCATAGAACAGCTTGCCAAAATTATGAAAAAAGCATGGGCCAAGTTGCCAGTGTCTACTGAGGGGCCATCGCCTGGGTTTACCACCATTCGACAAGGCCCCACAGAATCATTCTCTGACTTTGTTAGTCGCCTGATTACAGCAATAGAAAGGCAAATTGATAACCATAAGGCATGTTCTATGCTCCAAAAACAGCCGGCCTTTGAAAATGCTAATGATGACTGCAGAAGCTAGACTAACTAATAATATGCTCTCTGTTCTGCCTACAGCAGAATCATCTCCCTACATTATGTCACCCCTAAACTAGGGTTGGGGGAAAAGGCAGCCTGTGGACTGCAGACAGCTCTCAGCATCCTAAAAAACAGACTCATAATGTCCCATTAGCCATTTTGAGTGTGCCCCCTTACACACACAAATATATACATACTATCATTAGAGGACACTAGATTCCCACTATGGTGTAGTACACTGGTTCTTAACCTTGGGTTACTCAGGAGTTTTGGACTGCAACTCCCAGAAGCCTTCACCACCAGTTGTGCTGACTAAGGTTTCTGGGAGTTGCAGTTCAAAAGCATCTGAGTAACAAAGGTTAAGAACCACTGGTGTAGCAGATAAGAGTGATGGACTAGGGCTCTGGAGAACACTTTGATGTCACCTTGAAAATCCTGTTAGGGTTGCCATAAGTCATTTCTGACTCGACAGCTCAGAACACACATACACACACACATTCAGTTAACTCCTCCATTTTAAAATCAACTATGCAGGCAAAAAGTGGATGATAATTTAGCCTACTGTAATTCTAGAATCAGAATTATCTAATCTGAATACTGGGAGATCCAGGACAGACAAAAGTATGTATATATATATGTATATATATATATATACACAAACACACACAGAGAGAGTTATATTATGAATTTTGCTATCATAAGATGCAAATATGACCACCAACTTACAGAGTTTTATAAAGGGCTTCAAATTCAGGATAAGGCTATCAATGGCCATCAGTCATGATGCTACATGTTATTGCCAAGGTACAAGGCAGCATCCTTCTGAATACCTGTCATTGGGAACCATTGCGGGGGGGGGGGAATTGCCCTCATGGCCTGCTTATCGTCTTTCTTGGTAGTTTAAATGAATTGAAAGCTTCCGATCTCCCCCTTTCAGGTTCAGGAAGTGGGGAAGTGTTTAATAGCCAAAAATCACTGACAGGTCATTGTTGGTGGTCCTGATCCTGGTAGTGGTGATTCTGCAGCCATTTTTACTATGGAAGGCTTCCCCTGTCCCAAAGGCTTCCCTAAAACAAAAGGAAGCCCTAGGAAACCTGGAAGGGAATGGGAGGTGGGCATAGGAAATTTTCAATTAATTGAAATTAAAACTTATTGGTGCCAGATCTGCTTTACACTGGCATAACTTTATGCAACACACTTTTGCCCATGAAGTTCTCTGACTCTCAGGTGTTATCCACTGATCCAGTTTTGAAATAAAATTTATAGAATAGTTCACAGAGCATTTTTGTTCTATTTCTCATAAAATGTCAATCATACCACTCATTCTCATTTAAAAGTACAATGCATATAAACTCTTCAGATTAGTACTTTTTGCAGTATTTGTATGTACCGTAGCTTGATACAATAAAAATTTCTCAGCAATTGAAATATCTAATACATTAGAAAAATATGTCGCAAAACAATTTGAAAGCTACTATCTGAATCCTTCAACAATACTCCCTCCCACACAAAAAGGGGAGGGGAAAATACAGCTATCCTCCTCTACTAAAGAAAATGCTGCATAAATGGGACTGTTTGGCAGGGTTTTTTTAAGTTAAACATAGTCTCTGCCTCTGCCTACTACATGGGAAGAGGGAGTGTTTCAAAGGAAGTGATGGCATATTTAGCAATGTTACTGATTTCTGTTACAGCAGTTAGGGGTTGTCTTTGTTGAGTTAACAGGTGAGTTCAAATGCAACACAGCCATTTTTTAAAGGTAATACAATCAACAAGGCAGAGTATTCCCTGGATGAGGTGCCATTACTAAGGATATCTTTTGCAATTTTATTCAGTAGCCTTCTATTGGTGGCTAAGCCACTAATAAAACCACCAGTAAGGATCTTTACAGGTCACCTTGGCATATACAGGGAAGACAGGCTTGTGAGCACTCTCACATGCACTGAAGTTCTTTCTCCTATTTTCCTCTACATCTGGAAACAAGAATACCTCATGTTTCTAACACTATTGTGGATAACGAGAAGATTCTTTAGAAGATGAATGGATTCTTGGTTGAGAAAACATTGTAAACAAGCTTCTCTGAAAGACAAATAATAATGTTTCCCATATACAGAGGGGTATGAGGAAAATGGCAGGAGTATGTTTTGTTTAAATAGGGAACTGATGAGGCCCTGTCTCAGCCACTACTCTCTGTGAACTAGTTGTGTACAATACTACCAGATGCAGAACTTGTTACACATACGTATAACTCAGGTTCCTTGGCAGGTAACGGAATGTACAAAGTGATCTCCCAAAAATGATCTGAATGCTGCTCTAGTTCTTTAACGCACAAAACAGGCAACTGGAGAAGCAGAAACAATTCACAAATCCTGATAGTACGAGGATTTAAAAAATTGTAATTTAAAAAATTGAACAGTTATGTTTTCTTAGTATTAGATCTTGCTATATTTGACTAAGCAGTTGATTAAAACCTTGATAAATTGCTCCAAATGAATGCATACCTTAGCTCCTCAGAGGTAATCACACAAACACAACTTCCAAATTAAGATTACATTTATTGCATACAGTGGCACTATACATTATGAAGAATCAATTGCTTTCTGTTCAACTGGTTTTAGATGACGACGAATTATTAGTTCACCTGTGCTGCAGTTAATATACGTATCAGACATTTCATCTTCAGTTGGAAGCCCATGGGGTAGCTTCAGTGGTTGAATCCTATAGGTGAGGGGCAAAAAGAGACATGCGTCAATATTGTCTGCAAAACCTACAGTATTTTGAAGAAGACCAAGCAAGAACTCACAAACCTTATTAGATGTTTAATGATCTTCAGTTTTTTATTCACAGCAGGGATGTTTTTGTGCACTACAGGCTCATATCTCTGTAAGCAAGCAAAAATTGCCTTAAAAGATTTGTAAATATATGATTAGCCACTCAAACTGCAAAAATGACCATGGTGATTAAACAAAGGTGATGGAGGATGGCCTTCCCTTTAACAAGGATGCTTTAGCAGTATATTCCAGCATTGGCAAGGGAGTAAGGCCTAGACTATCCATGGAGTCCCCTCCCATGATCTACTTCTGTGCTTTTATGCTTCTGTTCAAATATTTATGTATTATTTATTTATTCAATTTGTATCCTGCTCCCATTAGTATTAAGGCACTACTCTGGGTGGTTACAACACATATAATAGAAAACAAAAATAAAGGTAAAAATATTAAAAGCAACAAAAATAACCCTAAAAACAGATGGCACTGACTAATCATACAAATCCCGGAGTGGACAGAGGAAAGGGGGGGAAAGGAGGGGAGAAGGTGGTCAGTTGGTGTCGATGTGGAAAGCCTCCCTGAAAAGCAATGTCTTTGTTTCCTAAATCTCAACAAAGACAGGGCTAGACAGTTCCACAGCAAAGGGTACCTCTTGTAGAGGATTTATGGGCCTCCCTCGGGGTGGCCACCCAGAGGAGCCTCATCTGGGATGATCTTGTGGGTTCGGCAAATGTGATTAAGGAAAGATGCTCCAACAAGTAACTTGGGCCCAAACCATGCAGGGCTTTGTACGTGTGTGTATAAACCTTGAACCTGATCTGGGACACCATGGGCAACCTGTGAAGGTGAGCCAGAACTGGAGTGGTGCGGTCAAATGTAACCACCACCAATCCGGCTGACTGAATCTCCAGATCAGGCTCAAGGGAAGCCCCATGTATAACATTACAGTAGTCAATCTGGGAGATGAGCAGGGTCTGAACCAAAGTCCTGAGGGAGTCCTCATCTAGGTGGGGGCAAGGTTGGGCAATGAGCCTAAGCTGGTTGAAGGCTGAACTGGACACAGCTGCAATTTGGGACTCCCAAGAAAGAGCCGGGTCCACAAGAACACCCAAATTACGCACTTGGTCCCTAAACTTGAGGGGAATGCCATCCAGCCTAGGGACCATCCCCCCAACCTATCAGAGGTCCACCCTGCAGGAACAAAATCTCTGTTTTGTGCAGGTTCAACTTGAGCCTATAAGCCTTGATCCATTCCAGTATTGCAACTGAGCAACACTCGAGCATCTAGACAGCATCAACTGCAGAGCAGGTAATGGAGTTGGGTGTCATCAGCATAATGATGATACCTTGCTCCAAAACTCCTGATGAGATTTCCCAACACTTAACAGCATTAGGGATAGCGTCGATCCCCGAAGTACCCCATACCATCGGGTCCAAGGTGCTGACACCTCTTCTCCTAGCTGAACTCTCTGGACACAGTCCTTGAGGAAGGATCGGAGCCAATTCAAAGCTAAGACCCCAATCCCAACCTCAGAGAGCCTATCCAGGATATCATGGTCAACAATATCAAAAGCCACAGAGAGCTAGCCGTACTAATTATGTGCATTTGCCCATAAGCCTCCCTTAAAAGGTCATCCTGCGATGCAACCACTGTCATCTCAATACTATGTCACAGCCTGAATCCAGACTGGAATTGGTCAAGGCAGTCCTGCCGCTGCAGGTATGACTGCAGCTGATTTGCCATCATAAAGTAGCATTGACAATGAAGACTATTGCAATTAATACAAAGATTAACAGCAGACAGAATTCACCAGTAGTTAACACAGAAAATCAATATATTATAGATCATCCCCTAAAAGTTTCTGTATCACCATCTGTATCGATCCAATATCATTTATACCCATCATATGTACTTTGTATGTTAATTCATAACAGCCAGATCATGATAAATAATAGTGTCTTTAAATAAAAGTATGGATTGAAATTCATTAATCAGTTTGCTAAAACTTTTGTAGTCTTGTTGGATTTCTGCATGCTAGTTCAACATGGGAAAACCACGTGACAAGAATTCATGTGCAGATTTTCTTGTCTAATCACGCACACCACTTGCAGACTGGATGCAGACTGACACTAGAATTGGGAATGAATTGGAAAACATGCAACAAAATGCTCAGTTTCAATGTCTTTCTCACCTTGTAAAGTACATGGCTATGTACATTCCCGGATACTATATCACAGCTATACACAACCTCACAATGCAGCTAAATGGACAGTGGGGGTTACTCTTTCAAGAACATATAGTGGAAAATTCATATGTAGTCTACCACCCAGGCAGCAGGCACCCAAAGATAGATTGTACTCAACACATCTAGGCTGTTTGGAGCTGTGTAGCATAACCATATCCAAATAAAATATGACAAAGTTAGAGAACAGAGCACTGCACAATCCAAGCAAACCAGTGGCAATGTATTCACGAAGGCTTTCACAGCCGGGATCCATTGGTTGTTGTGGGTTTTTCGGGCTCTTTGGCCGTGTTCTGAAGGTTGTTCTTCCTAATGTTTCGCCAGTCTCTGTGGCTGGCATCTTCAGAGGACAGCACTCTGTGCTCTGGTCTCTGAAGATGCCGGCTACAGAGATGATGCCGTTTCGCCAGTCTCTGAAGATGCCAGCCACAGAGACTGGCGAAACATTAGGAAGAACAACCTTCAGAACACGGCCAAAGAGCCCAATAAACCCACAACAACCAAACCAGTGGCAACTTCCATTGCACAACACTGTGCATGGAAAGTTTAAGTGGTTTATGTGGCTCCTTTAACATTGAAATCATTTATGCAATGTCTTGTTATGGCTTCAAATCCTGTCAAAGGAAAATCCAGATTCAGGCATGTGAGGAGGGCGACAGTGACAGGAAGCCTGTACAAATTAAATTCAGAGTAGGAAAGTATCCCCTGTACAGTATGTGTCTCTAGGAACAAGGAAAAGGAAAGAAACAAGATTGCCAGTGGGTTACATACTCTTCCCAATCCAAATTGTTTGATCAACTCCTTTTCCCAATAAGGACGTCTTCTTCCACTTTTGATCCTGGTGATGAGGTGTAATTTGTGAGGCTGCTCTGGATCACCCCCGTATTTTTCATGATCACCAGGATGTGGCTGAAATACCTAAAAGAAATTCAACAAAGGCAGATTTTGGCTATATTATCATTACTAGCCATTAGAGATGGGCACGAACCAGCAGTTTGGTGTGGTTCATTTCCCCAGTTAAACAGCTGATCCATGGGTCAGTGTCACACCCCCTCCAGTGGGCACCCACTCATTGGCAACACCTGGAGGAGGCAGGGCACTGTCACTGAGTGGGTGCCCACTGGAAGGGGAGGGATACCAAACCACAGATCAGTTGTTCAGCCGGGAAAGGAAACTCTGAACCCACGGTTTGTGGCCATCTCTACTAGCCATCCCAAAAATAATCTTAAAACCTATTAGTAGCCACTGAAAGGGGGATTTGTAAGAAGGGTGACAAAATGAATTTAAATGATTATATCAAAGAAACTATTCTGAAATAAAGTTCATGAATTAAAAAAAACATAACCTCAGGGTAGATAGGAGACATTATGACATAATATAAATTGAAATACCTGGTAACAATAGCTATATTAACATAGTCTTAAGCTTTGTTTAGAAGGCAATAAATTATGTTACTTGCCACTTTAGGAGGATTTGCCCTAACAAATTCTAAACCTTTAAATAAGTAAAATGTTTAGTTCTAGCAAGATATCATAGTAAAAGCTGATTCATTTTCTATTGCACCATAACCTTATCTAGTTTAAGGAAATGCACAAGCCTCATCTTCCACTCATAAATTCTCATGCTTTCCATAAACCAAGATGAATAAAAATCAATAATTTAAAAAAATTAAAATAATAATTTACATTTTTAAAATGTTTTTATTTGAATCATAATTTAAACCAATCTAAATAAAATCCACCCTGCCTACAACACTTTAAATCTTTTTTCTTAACACACAATATCCATTAAAGAAGAAAAGATAGCATATGACTTACGATGGCCACAATTAGAAGCACTACATCTAAAAATCACCCGAGAACCAATATGCCATTTATTGAGTTAATTATAAAACTCTGAATGGATGTCTATAGAAAAGATTGCAGTCCTAACCTGTCATGTGCAACTGTTCCACTTGTTGGAAATAAGCCCCACTGAACACAATGAAACTTAATTCTAAGGCAAACTGTGAAGAATTAAAACTGTAAATAGCAAATAAATCAAAGTAAATTTTTAACGCGAGGATACTTGCTAGACATTTTTATTTATAGCCCAAGAAGTGACTTCAAAAGCTTCAATAAAAAGTGTAAAAATAAGATTTTCCAACATATGACTTACCGATTCAGGAACTCTTGCTTTTGTAAATTTCTGTCTAATCCATATATTCCAAGTGACTGGCTCCACTTTGTTTTTCGGAAAACTCTAGAAAAGGAGGATGATAAAAACAGAAACACAACATATTTTAGTATAATTGTAAATTCAAACATAATTGTCAAGAACAACTGCACCTTGGGTGAGCTAAGTTATATGATGAACTCCTTAATCATACAGACTATCCCAAGAAGAACATTTGTAAATCTCATCACAGATGGACAGCTGGTGGTGAAGGCTTCTGGGAGTTGCAGTCCAAAACTCCTGAGTAACCCAAGGTTAAGAACCAGTGAGTTAGATGATGAACTCCTTAATCATACAGACCATACGAGAAGAACATTTTTAAATCTCATCAAAGACGTCTAGACACCAAGTCTAATAACAAACCTATCTACATTTAATGATTTTATTGCAAATTAAATATTTCACATTCCATGGAAACCAAATGCCTCTTTAAAAGGTAAGGTAAAAACTATTTTAAAACCCCCAAGAAAAAAATAGAAATGCTTGTTTGCTTTATTTTGTTGTTGCTGTTTAGTTGTTAAGTCGTGTCCACCTCTTCGTGACCCCATGGACCAGAGCACGCCAGGCCCTCCTATCTTCCACTGCCTCCCAGAGTTGGGTCAATTTCATGTTGGTTACTTCGCAGACACTGTCCAGCCATCTCATCCTCTGTCGTCCCCTTCTCCTCTTGCCGTCACACTTTCCTAACATCAAGGTCTTTTCCAAGGAGTCTTCTCTTCTCATGAGATGGCCAAAGTATCGCAGCCTCAGCTTCAGGATCTGTCCTTCCAGTGAGCACTCAGGGTTGATTTCCTTCAGAATTGATAGGTTTGTTCTCTTTGCAGTCCAGGGGACTCTCCAGTCTTCTCCAGCACCACAATTCAAAGGCATCAGTTCTTCGGCGGTCAGCTTTCTTTATGGTCCAGCTCTCACTTCCATACATTGCTACTGGACAAACCATAGCTTTGACTATGTGGACTTTTGTTGGCAAGGTGATGTCTCCGCTTTTTAAGATGCTGTCTAGGTTTGTCATTGCTTCACTTTATTTACTCCGGTGTAATACTACAACCAAGTAGCCCATGACTAACTGGGCGCTTCCACAACGAACGCTGCAAAGGCTTATTACAGAGCACAGCCTTCCTGAAGCATGTGTTGCTCCTGACTTCCTGAACCGACCCTGGACATTGAAAGCCCATTTTGGAGATGGCACCCACTCCCAATACTATTACGTACCACCACCGGAGACTCCAAACGTACATTACTATTTTCTACTCCCACAACCCAATTGGCAATCTTTTTTAATCCCTCCCTCTCTTCTCACCTGCACGGTAACAGAACATGCCCGTCGCACAAGCCGACCTAACAACTCTCTCAGCGCCGCCATCTTTAACCCCCTCCCTCTTACAGGAAGTCTCTCTTTCATCGTCCAATCAATGCAATATCTCCACCCACTTCCGCTCGGAAATAGGTAGAGGCAAGAAAAAAGACCGTCTAGGAAGTTCTCATATCTATGGTACATCAAGCTCTCTGTTAGGGATGCCTTTAAGTTTCCGATTCCTAAAAATCACATGACCGGGTGAAGGCGTGGGATTGCATTGTTGCTGTAGCTGGCCGTGAACTGGATGCATTTCCGGATTCCTCATGATTTATTCCATTCAGTAGGACGACTTGCGGCGGTGCTCTCGGGGATCTTGGTGTTTTCTCCAAAATAAAGTTCCCGCATTATCTCCCGATTGCAATGGAGGATCCGGCGGTGTTGGTGCTGAAGCGGGCGGTAGAGCTGGATACGGCGTCTCGCTTCCAGGAGTCGCTGGTTTGCTACCAGGAAGGCATCGATCTCCTGCTGCGGGTACTTAAAGGTGAGAAAGTTGGCTTTTCCATACGTGCAGGTGATACTATCTCGGTGCAGGACTTATCAAACTTAATCCTCCAGACGTTTTTAGTTACAACGCGCATATTCTTTACCGTTGGTTGTGCTGATGGCAGCTTGCGAGGCACAGCTCGGAACAACAGGAAGGCAAAAGCCTGGGAACCACTGCGGTGAGCATCCTAACCTTATTCAGTAGGAGCCTCATAAATCAGGAGTAGGGAACTTTTTGCCCACCAGGTGGTTCGGACAAAAACCCCTGTAATTCATTATCATCGATCTGGCTGGTAGGAGCTTCCGGGATTGAAGCCGAATCACATTGGTAACAGGTGGGTTTTTTTTGTTTTGTTTTTAAACCTTGCTGGATGAGACCACAAATGTTTTTTTGTTTCCACATGACAGACAGGCACTCCTGTCAGCTCTAGGAGCAAGGGAGAAGGGTATGTTTGGCAGGGCATCCCTCCTCCATCATTTGATCAATATGCTTCAGACCAAGAGGTGAAACCAAACAGTGTTTATTGAAACATTGGGAAGAACAACCTTCAGAACACGGCCAACGAGCCCAAAAAACCCCACAACACCCAGTGTTTAGTGAACTTGGAAGAGGGTGGACAATAGCTGCAGCTGTATGCTGTCCTGGTTCCTTGGCCCTAGTTCCTGGCACCGGCCCACAGTCTATCGGCGCAGTCTCTTGCCCTCAGGTTCCATTCACCAAGAGGGAGGGAGGCTGTCCAGGAAGTCCAGTTTTCTTGGTAAGAAAGTCCAAAGGCCCCAGGTCCAGGGCTTCCTTGTCTTCAGATTGCTCCTCATAGTGAGGGTCAGTATGCCCACAGTGAGGGCAGCCATGGTAAGAACTTCCTTTCAGGGAGCCACACCGATTTTAGTTCCCAGCATTCTCCCAACACTGGCCCTCTTGCTGTCTCTTCCTGCACCAATGTTGATTTTACATGGGGTTGTGTTATCTTGGTTTCATCACAGCCTGTCTCTCATGCTTGCCCTAGAATGATGGGGGCTAAGAAGGCTTGGGGTGTTTGCAGTTTTCTCATTCTCCTTTGGAGACCCTCAACAGGACCACAACTCCTCTCCAGGAGGCTTGTTTGTAAATGTAGTCCCACTCCCAATGGGGGTTCTGGCTCCTTTCTCTGGGGGGAATTCTCCAAGCTTTAGTCCAAGCATTTCCCCATTCATCTTCCTCAGGGTCATCTCCTCCTGGTCTTTCAAGGACTTCCCCCGGTTTTCCAGAGTCACCTTGGCTTTCCTATCCTGGTTCCCCAGAGCTACTTTCGTTGCCTTTTTAGGATCTGCCTCTGAGTTTTTCCCTGTAGATTTCACCTCCTTTTCTGGTCTCCCTCACTCTCCAGGGTTGGTTTGATACCCGATTTCCTTTTTCTTAGGTGCTCCCCCACTAGCAGGGTAGCCTTTGTATCTGTCATGCACCAGTGGCAAAGTAACTCCTCCCTCTCTCTGACAGGGTGCCATCCAATCCCTAGGGCTGACATGATCACAATAATATGACAATAAGTGTCAGTTTGTGTCCTGTTTTCCTGGGAGTAACACATAGTGGCGTGCTTTTGCTTCTTATGCAGGAGAACTTTGGGAGGCTGATTGGGAGGCTGGACGGGATTGTGCAGGACCCTGGATTGGAGCTCAAAGGACCACTGACAGGGGCATCCATGTCCCTGTCCTCATGGGGAAATATGAGAGAGAATGAAGGAATGCTAGAATGAGAAAGAATTGTCTCTGTTGTCACTTGCAATTGGCCTGTGACAGACTTCCCCCCCTCCTCCAACAATTATGGCCCTCAGCAGGAAAAAGGTATCACACTATATTGCATAACAAACATATTGCATCTGAATTTCCATCTTAATAGGGACCAACCACTTGTCTCCTATCAGTTGCGGTGTTTTTTCAACAAAATGACTTTAGGCCAGTGGTCCCCAAACGTGGGCCTCCAGAACTTGGACTACAACTTCTAGGAGCCTGGTGTGTCCTCCAGGTTGTTCCTTCATGTAAGATTACTTCCATGTGTGAAAGAAATTTCTGTCAGTTCTCCTGTTGTATACATGCAGGTCTGAAGTTTAAACTAAAAGGAGAATGTGATGGAAGGAACCTAGTTTTCACTTTCATGTATCTTAATTTCTGTTTGCAGCCACAAAAGATGAGAAGAAAAAGGCTCACTACAGAAATAAAATAACAGATTATATGAACAGAGCAGAAGATATTAAGAAATATCTTGAGAAAGAGAAAGAAGGTATGAAGCCATAATGTAAGTTTCTATACTTCAATAAAATTTTGGAATACTTCATTGGGACCTCTTTTTCTTATACATACAACACATTTAGTATTATTAAATTAAACTTTTCTTGTTTTTAGAGGGAAAGTACCACAAGCAAATCAAAATTGAAGAAAATATGAAAGGTTTCAGTTACGAAAAGCTATTTCAAGAATACCTTAATGAAACTGTTATAGAGGTTTGGGTTGAGGACCCTTATATTAGACAAGTCCATCAGGCAAGTCTCTGTGGATCATACCATTAAAACATTTTGCTTCTTTCCATCTCAAAAATCTAAAGTAATGTAATCTTTTACAGTTGTACAACTTCTTAAGATTCTGTGAAATGCTTGTTAAAGGACCATGCAAAGTGAAAACTATACACCTTCTTACCTCTCATGATGAAGTAAGTATTTACACTGAAGCTACAATCCTGTACTCAAATTAGCCAGAATTTTGCCACACTGATTTCAGTGGGAAGTAGTTCTCAGTCAACCTCCTTTAGGTTTGCACTATTAGATATCCCATTCTACATTAAGTTGTACTTGTTGAAGTGAAATGGTTATTTTGATCATCACGGCTAACATAAAAGAGAGTTTGCTCTTATCTGATGGAATTTCTGGGGACATTTTAGTAATTCTAATTATACATCACAGATTTATCCATGAGATGAAGGTGCTAGTTTATTTGATATTTTTATTTACTTTACAATTCCATTCGTATAAGTCTCTGCACCAGCTTGCCGATGATTAAGAAGTTGGCGGTTGTACTTCCTCTTAGGCACTGGTCACATAACTTGGTGTGTGATGAGAAATGCAAACAACTTCTTAACTAGTTGTAATTTGCAATTGAACTATACACCAGTGAACCTAGGTAAAGGTTCCCCTTGACAATTTTTGTCCAGTCGTGTTCGACTCTAGGGGGTGGTGCTCATCCCCGTTTCCAAGCCATAGAGCCAGCATTTGTCCAAAGACAATCTTCCGTGGTCACATGGCCAGTGCGGCTTAGACATGGAATGCTGTTACCTTCCCACCAAAGTGGTCCCTATTTATCTACTCCCGTTTGCATGCTTTCAAACCGCTAGGTTGTCGGGAGCTGGGACAAGCGATGGGCGCTCACTCCATCATGTAGATTCAATCTTACAGCACAGAGGCTTCTGCGGTTTAACTCGCAGCGCCACCACATCCCTCCTGTGAACCTACACCAGTGTAATTATCAATTGGATCATGGCCAGTAATTAAGAATGGGCAGATACAGGCTCCCCCCACCCCATATGATTTCTTACCTTGCCTTCAGTTGAAGTACCCGATCTCTACTTTTCACAAAAATATGTAGAAAATACAATACACAGTCCCCTTTCTAAGATGCTTTACAAGTACTGGGTAAAAGTGTTGAACATTGTCTTGCATTAATAAAAGGGAAAATATGAAAGAGGCCTGTTTATACAGTGAAATATCTCTGAATTGTGAACTTATTATGAGTTTTCTTTTTTAATTTTTTTAAACTTTTAAATCTAAACAGGGCAATGAGAAGAGTCAGCAGACAAGTATTCTAGAAGAAATACAACAGTCACTGAAGGATTTTGGTGTAACATTAAATGTATCATACTCTTCTGCTATACATGATCGAGAGATCAGGTTGGTGAGACATGAACAAAATGACCAGTATTAAACACTGATTTGCTGAGATAGCTTGGTGGATACTTGATTGGTAAGGGTGCCTCCTAAAGTTTTTGTTGCTTCTTGAAGTACTGAAGATTATGATTAGAGATGGGACCCGAATTAATTCAGGCCCCTCCATCTGACAGGCCATGTACATTACTCTGCACAGCCTCACAGCTGGCATGCGGATACTCATCCCACCCACCCCCTAGCCATCTGGTCCACTCATGGTTCTTTGCACGTACACATCACCAGCTCCTTTAACTCTGGTGGTACACCAATCCAGGCAGGAGTTTAGGCTGCCTATCCCCACCTCCCCTGGCAGCTGTCCACTCGTCGGCTACGTAGGGAGAAGCCCTGCCTCCTTGTCAGAGTGATTGGCTCCCATGGGAGGCAGGAATGGGCATCCTGGGCTGCTGCCTGAATTGGCACACTACTGGAGTAAAAGGACTCAGCAACGCATGAAGAACTGTGAGTGGAGCAGCCAGTCAGGGGCAGTGGGTGGGTAGGCATGATTACCTAGAAAAGCTCCAGACAGTAGGCATGAGCAGCTTATTTTACTAACTGCTCAACTAATTGCCATCCCTTTTCATCTCCTGTTGGGCAAAATTGAAGTTCTACTTCTTATAGCACGAAAAATCTCTGCTCCCCTTGTTCATCCCTTACTAAGGTAGCTAATCCTGGAGTGTGGCTGCTAGTTAGTACTGTTTAATACTGTCCCCTTGTTTGTCTTTCAAAGGGTCTTGGGAGAGTTTGACTTTATAGAGGCAACTAACCTTTAATGACAAGTGGGTGCATCACATGATCTCATCAGCTTTTTTGGGCTCCTGTAGAGTACATTATATTTCTTGTATAATATACCGTAATATGGATGGAGAGGGGAAGTGGTTTAGATAATGCCTTGATCAATGTATGAATGGGAACATAGGGTATAATACTATCAGACGGCATAGGAGGTTAAGCATATATACAAAAACTGTAACAGACAACTTTATCGACCTGTTGACTGATCATCTTAACTTGCTGGTGTATTAATAATTCCTTATTACTCTTAATATGAAAATGCTTGTTTCTATTTTGTTAACTATGCTCTGAAGAAAACTGCAGCAGGACCCCCCCCCCCATCCGTAGGTTCAGTAGTTACTATTTCACTTATCCACGGCTGAAAATATTAAATAAAAAACCCAGAGTGTGTGTGTGTGTGTGTGTGTGTGTGTGTGTGTGTGTGTGTGTGTGTGTGTGTGTGTGTGTGTTAAAAAATCCTTGGCTATATAGTTCTTATATGTTCTACCTCCACACATACAAAAGTGGGGGTGGAGAGAACAGAACCTTCAGCATATCCCCATCTATATTGTAATTGTTGCTGGGATACAAGACTATATTAGGAAAGAATAGCAAATTATTCCAGACCTCTTTCAAAGATAATTACTTCATATAAGCCACCAACAGAAGTAAACACTTCTCATTAATATAGGATGATGTTCAAAAGAAACAACAGACTCTCACTGAGATAACATACATTAACATATGCATCAGCAGAACACAAAAACTATTTGTTGAATCTAAAGTATTCAAATAGGTATAACACCAATACACAATTATCAAAAGTAATCATTTTGCAGTTACAGATGAATGTATAACAAATTCAATTCTTCTATAGAGTAGGATCCCCGTATCCACGGGGGATTGGTTCCAAGCCCCCCCCTCGCAGATGCAAAAAAACACAGATTATAGCAAACATCTCCCAACTAGCTGGAAGTTTTTTCTTCTAATACTTTTAATATTTAATGTAATATTTACAGACTGTGGACAAGTGAATCAGCAGATACTGATCCCGTGGATAAAGGGGTTCTACTGCATATGTAATTCCAGTGTATTTATCAGAACTGGCCACTAAAGGGAGCCAGGGACCATGTAATGTATAGCATTTGATACCTTGTATTTTTCAGCATACATGACTGGAGGCTTAAAACTCATCCTCTGCTGATAACTGCGGTCCTACCATGTTCTGAAAAAGTAATTTGGAGAAGGACAGGGCATGTACATTACTTACAAGAAGTTAAACCCTGTTTTCCAAATTAATATGTAGTTTCACTTAAGGACAATGTTGGTTTATGTTTTAGCTAAATGTCTGCTATACCATCAGCAAATTGCAAAAAAGCAATTTTATTTAAAGGTGCAGTAAAGGCAATTTTTAAAAAATCTTTGAAGTCCAGAATAGAGATGGCCAGGAATCACCAGTTCAGTGGTTTGTGCAAGTTATCAGCCATAGAGGCATGGCATTTCAGAGCCCCCAGAAGACCCATTCAGAGGCAGTGCCCAAAGAGGGGAGGCAGGGAAGCTGAGCCATTGCCTTCCACTGGATACGCAAAGAAGTTAAACCCTGTTTTCCAAATTAATGTGTAGTTTCACTTAAGGACCACGTTGGTTTATGTTTTAGCCAAATGTCTGCTGTACCATCAGCAAATTGCAAAAAGGCAATTTTATTTAAAGGTGCAGTAAAGGTAATTTTTAAAAAATCTTTGAAGTCCGGAATAGAGATGGCCAAGAATCACCAGTTCAGTGGTTCGTGCAAGTTATCGGCCATAGAGGCATTTGGCATTTCAGAGCCCCCAAAAGACCTATTCAGAGGCAGCGCCCAAAGAGGGGAGGCAAGGAAGCTGAGCCACTGCCTTCCACTGGATACGCATTGGAGGAGGTGGGGCTTTGAAGTACTGAACAACATAAAACAAACCAGTATGAACCACCAAGCCAGCAGTTCATGTTCATCTGTAGTTCTGAGCAAGGTTTTTATCCAGTCATATTTCCAGTTTGTATGTTTCTGAATAATGTTTCTTACATTTAAAACACAGATTCAACAATGGATGGGTATTCAAAATTGGAAGAGGTCTTGATTACTTTAAGAAACCACAGGTGAGGATTGTTTCTATTTTGTCTTTGAATAAATTTGTTGGACTGAATCATTTAATTATGTGAATCATTTGTTCTCCACAGGGTCGTTTTTACCTTGGATACTGTGACTTTGATTTGAGACCATGTCATGAAACTACTGTGGACATTTTTCACATTAAACATACAAAGAAAACGTGATTCCCATTCCAGTTTACTCCCTTTTCTCAAACATGAGCTGCTTTTCCTACTCTATTTACTGTACACTTTTATTTTTAAAAACTGTTGTACAGTATGCCTACATGAAAATTTTACAGTAGAATTTCATGCTCTTACAAAGTACTTGTCGTTCTTAAAGTGAAGACCACTGCTCTGATTTTATATGTTTGTGTTGAACAAGCTTTTTTTATTCTTATTAATACATCAGAGGTGGGGAACATATGGTTTCCTAGAAGTTGTTGGACTGCAAATCCCATCATCCCTCATAATCAGCTGTGCTGCCTAGGGCTAATGGTAGTTGCTGTCCCACAGCATATAGCGGGACAGGGCTGTCTGCATTATTTGGGCTGTTGGAAAAAGCTTTGGAACTAAAGTTACTGTATATCTTTTAGACCTGCCATCCCACAAATGTTATGGATGGCCAGGTGAGAGTTTCCATAAAGCTGGAAAATATCAATAAAGTTTCCACTTTATTTGCAGTTGAAGAGGTAAGAATTTTAATTTTGTGAGGAGGAAATACATGGCTGACCAGCTGCATAACCAAATGTGAGGGATGATCAGCATTCCAGTCCCATCAACATCTAGAGATCCATATATTTGACCTGGCTGTTTAAATCATCACGTGGACTGCCTCTTCATCAGATAGTTGATGCTTCAAAGAAACGTGACCTACGCACAAGAGAGATATTGATGTTTCCTAGGACATCATTTACAAATCACTGAGCTGAGTAGATATTATAGGATTCACCACAGTCTTATGAATGTGTCAGAGCAAAACTGGTAAGAGGCTGAAACCATTTTTAAAAATTATGGCCCACTAGATATCTCATTTGGGGGGAAAATTGAGATAAATTGGAAAGATGGGCGGGGTATAAATAAATAAAATAAGGGGTTCTAGGGAGAGTCATGCTCACTCAGGGTTATCATAGTAAACTGATGTTGTTACTCCCCAACAATGGAGTTTCCTTGCTTGGGGACAATGATGCAAATGCAGTCTGTGAAAGCTTCCCTCCCATTATGTAGATGGCCAGATTCCAAAGAGCAGTTTACAGAGATACAGTAATCTGGTATCTGCATAGCATGATTTGAGTATACTGATGGCAGAAAGAGCATTCCTGAGAAACTCTGTATATGGTGGTTTATTTCAGTCTTACTTTCAAAGTCTTTCTCTTCTAAACACACCAAAGTCGTCTTTCTAATAACTATTAGGGAACACTAATTCATCAGTCTTATTTTGGAACCAGTCTCAGTAGATTAGGTTAGAATGTTTCAAATAACTGAATTAAGGATCTCATTCTTATGTTTAAACCACTGTGCCTGAAAAACAGTGCATACTCAGTATTTCATGTATGTACAGTGTCATGTAGGAATACAGCAGGAGTAAACTGCCACATTTAGAACTCTTATTCTCAATGTCTCCCGGTGCATTTACAAACTGCTTTATTGCTGCTGTTTCGATTTTTTTCACCTCTCAACCTTTATTTCTGTTTTAATTTGTAGAATTTTAAGCTCTTATGAGAATCATTCTAGCTTGTTTGCAAAATGTTGTATGTCAGGAATGAATAAAGTTAACACTGGTAAGCAGTGATAATAAAACATTTTAGATTCAACTGAGCTGTGATACATTAATAAACCAATGACAAACAGAAGTGGCCTTGTCCACGGAAACTCACATTAAACTATGGCAATTAGTCTTTAAGGTCCCACAATATTTTTGTCTACTTTATTTTTCTTTTGTTTTTGCCCAAGACAATGACAAGCATCTCTTATTCTCAGAGTGCCACATGGTACCATGTGGCCATCTGACTCAGGCAAATCCCATTCAATTATGAAATCTGGGCTAGCCTAAGAACATGATGTACCTTGTAGAGTGATTGTGAAGATAAAAGTGATATAAATGGGGAGAACTGTATGTATAGTTGACCTTGTCTTCTTTGAGAGGAAAAAAGACAGAAATTTAGTAATACGAAATAAATGGGCCAAGTAACATTAAAGTCAGGAAAGGAAATGAAAAGGTGGATCTACAACTTTGTCAGTATGCATCAACCAGGTCAAAAAATTGAGATCCTGTGCTTACACGTTAGTCCCACTAAATTCAGTGGTCAGAAGCCCATTGGCATCTGCACAAGGTTTGTGTTACTGGGTGCTGCTAATTGCTGAGGTGCTGGAGCCTATTTCACTGGTATGCCTGATTGTGCAACAAAAATGTGCCCCAGCACTTCAGCAATTAGCAATGACAAATTGTATGGAACACCAATAGGATTCCAGTCAGTAGGCTGTACCGTTGAGCAGATTTAAACATGATTCCACTGCTAACGCATTCATCTTGACAACAGGTTCCCTTCTATTCAGGTTTTGCTTTTATTAAATAATTTATTGAATCAGTACTAAATCTCTTATGTTCAGCCAAGCCCTGGAAACACTGTTAGTGGAAGCTCATATTGAGACAGCAGGGATGATAAAGAATCAAAGTTCTTGTCATGTAGGTCACATTAGTGTAACTATCTTCTCACATAAGATACTCCACTTGCTGTGTAATTTGCAATCTGTACATGTTCTTAGCAAAGCAGTTGTCACTGCAGTGGTTTCACCTGGGCAGAATTTGCTGCCAATAAGATGTTCTTTTAGTTCATCACACATGGCTAATGGCAACCAGAATTGAGGCACATCAATGCTGCAGGTTTCAATTTTGCCACTCTTTACTTCCATGTTTATCTTAACTTCAAGACAAGATTGTTCCTGTCCTATGTTAAAGGAGGTGCTGGTACTGAATTTCGGTGTTTTGCCATAAAGCCAATCCCAGGATTTCAGTTCTCTGGCCTTCATATGAATTCCAGGGAATTCTGTCTCATCAGCAGGATTTATCAGAACGATATGGTTACTAATTTGATGGTGTGAAGCATATTCTTCAGCAATGGCATCCATTAGCATTTCACAAGTTAATGTAGGATCTTCTTCAAAGAGATTTTTCACCAAGGCGGGTACACTTGGGGTGGCGTTGCTTTTTATCCCACTGTAAGGACTCTTTAGTACAGCTGACAAAACAAATTTATCAACACCGCATAGCAAGGTGCAGTGGTGGTAAGCAACAGTCCTTCCTAATTTGGCAGCAGTTCCTGAAATTTTAAAAATCCCATTTAACAAGAGGTCATACCTGTCGGTGGCTTGTACATCTATCTCAGGTCGCAGGGATTTTAAAGCTTTAACCACCAGTTTCAAATTCTCCATTCTTTCATATTTTTTCCTGTTTGTGAAGAAGGTCAAGTTGATATTACCTGGATCGTGGTAAACTGTTCCTCCTCCACTTCTTCTTCGAGCTAGTTTTATACCCTTCTGTCTCATGAATGCAAGATTACATTCCTGCCAAGGATTCTGGTGTCTACCAATCACTACAGTAGAAGAATTTCTCCACAGAAAAAGAACTCGTCTGTTTTCTAAATCCATATTATCATGGATCCAATCTTCTAAAGCTAAATTCTGGTAAACATCCTGAGAAACAGACTGCAGGATCAGTCCTTTCTTCGATGCACATTTCAAACCAGCATTTGGAACCTTGAGAACACAGTATAGTGGGAAGCATTTCTTCAGAGATGACTGAATTAACATGTTTTAGGCAAATTAAATAGTCAGACATCAAAGCCTGATTCACATTTTGCACCATTCACTCTACTTCACCAGAAATGTGCCTCTTCAAATAACCGTCTCACTGTTGTCCATTTCTTCCAGAAGCATGGAAAACAGGTACTGTATCTTAAAATGGATGATTTTGTAAAATTCTTTCTTGCCTAATTAGATAATGGAATTTTATATGAATATGTAGAAATTGCCTGTTTCGTGTCCGTGTATAATTGACAACCTAAAGGAAAAAAATATTCAGTTTATCCTGAAACATCATACTTAACAGATCAGCTAATTAATTGCGTATTAATTTTAGTCATTCAATATGTAACAAGATTACTAGATCTTGGTAGATAATGTCTTGTGCTCGAAACCAAATAACGTATTTTCTCCTAACCTCCTCTGATTAGCTAAAGTACTTGCTTTTATTCATTAATATATATTTTACAGCCCAATTCTGGAAGTTAAAAATTAAGCTCTTGATAATTTAAGGGGATATAATGCAATAGTTCTGTGGCACCTGCTATCAGCTAGAATCTCAGTATCAAGATAACTACCCTGACTGGCATTAAGAAGGGGCTTCCAACAATGTGAAAAAGAGGTGTTTTATAGCAATAGTAATAATAATCTCAGAACTGCCGAACTGGAAGGACCTTAGGGGTCGAATCCAGCCCCTGTATAAATTCCTGAAGGATTCCTGTTAAATTCCTTAAGGAAGCTAAACAATTCTTTATTCCCATTTTCGCTCTGAGATTTTCTAAAGCGAAGGGCCAATGGGTTAGTATCTATGGGAATGTTTTTGGAATTATTCTCATCGAAACGGAGGCATGAAATTCTTTAGACGACATTATTATACGTGTCAAGCTTCCTTTCAGAAGATCTGGAGAGTTATTCGGAGCGGAGTACCAGCGGTAGCCTGCTAGATGCGGAACTTATACGGCATTTCTTGTTCCGACTACAACTCGGATTTTGGGGAAATGTCCAGAACCGAAGCATTTCTAATTTCGATCACGCACGAGGAAACTTAAACGGGTCATTTTCCGGCTGAGTGTTTTCAGGTGGGCACATAAATGCCACCTCCCAGTCTAGTGTGAGGGCAAAATATTTCAACTGGCCATTAAACTAAGGCTGCCCCAATACACGGCCGAAGGCACTTCATTTCCAATCCTCTCCGTTGCCAAAGGAGAGTTTGTAAAAGGCTTGTGCAGCACAACAACAGCCGCGCACCGATAGGATCCAGTGGAATGCCCCCCCCCAGTCAAGGTGATCTTCGGTCTAGTCAGAAATGAGCCCCACTGCTTTCCAAGCAGCTAATATCCCGGGCAAACGGGTTATGCAGGGAGGCTTGCAACGTGCAGCGGGGGCGGGAAGAGAGCCGGTGCTGCCCCTGAGCAAAGGAAGGGCTATTCGCGGAACCCTCTCAAGGACACGGCTGTCCTGCTTCTCCTGCTCCAGTCCCTACGATCAGCGATCACAGCAAAGCTCCACCATCTCCCGCCGTGCCCGGAGTCACTCGCGGGGAAGCAGCTCTTTTGCCCACGCGGAGAGGAGTTACCTGTGCGCGCGCGCGACAGACGGACTGCAGGACGAGGAGAGCAGAAGAGCAGCGCGCGCTTCTTCCCAGGGCTCAGGCTGAACTAGAGCCGCCCACGCCGTACGACATTTCCTGTTTTCGCCTTCAAATCCTTTTTTTTTTTTTTGACGTCGCTCGGCCGGAAGTGACAGCTGCCCATTGAAAATGAACCAGCATTTTAGGATCAAGGCGCGTCTCTTCCCAAAAGAGCAGAAGCAGCCTGCGTTTATGGGGGTTTAAACTCAACTCTTATGTAAGATGTTCCCCCCCTGCCCTGGTACTGGTTTTAAAGTATTTAAACCGCAATCCTTTTACTTAAGTTCAACTGAAATCAATGCAGGTTGGTTCTGCCTACAGAGTAGATCCTGGGTATAAGAGGTTACAGTTTTAAAATGCTCGTTTTTTGTCCAGACTGCTTCGAAAGATAATCTATTCTTATTTTTGCTCTTGTATTTGTAATGATAAGCGAAACAAACTGGAAACGATCAACCTAGGGCTGCGGCGGTGGAGGTCTGTAGTCCACGAAGGAACGTTGGAAAGAAAACTTGATAATCGCCAAAGTCCCGCAATATTTTAAGCCTGGACATGTCGGAAATTATTTTAGTATTCCTATTGGGGGCGGGGGCTTCTTCAAACTCGGTAAAGCAATGTTTTGATTTTAAAACCACTATCAATGCTAATATTGTTGGGATGGGTGACCCTTTTATGAGCAGCTTACAACACCGCTTCAATATTTTCCAGTTAATATTGGCAAGTTGAAAGTAGTGCATGACCCCTTAGGTAAAGGTAAAGGTTCCCCTTGACAATTTTTGTCCAGTCGTGTTCGACTCTAGGGGGCGGTGCTCATCCCCATTTCCAAGCCATAGAGCCAGCGTTTTGTCCGAAGACAATCTTCCGTGGTCACATGGCCAGTGTGACTTAGACACGGAACGCTGTTACCTTCCCACCGAAGTGGTCCCTATTTATCTACTCGCATTTACATGCTTTCGAACCGTTAGGTTGGCGGGAGCTGGGGCAAGCGACGGGCGCTTACTCCGTCGCGTGGATTCGATGTTACGACTGCTTGGTCTTCTGACCCTGCAGGACAGGCTTCTGCGGTTTAGCCCGCAGCGCCACCACGTCCCTTTGCATGATCCTTTAGGCTCTAACAAAAGCCTAAAGGGGTATACTGTAGATTTGTCTCTGAAGTTTTTTCCCCCCCAAAATCAAGGTTTTTCACATACGATCAGACCTACCTTAGAATAAAAAGAACTTCTACCATTGTTGCTACCCCTGGTAGAGTGGGAATAGCTGCACAACAACTACTAAAAATCCTGGGTTTCTGCGTTGTTTCTTATATTGTTGTTGTTTAGTCGCTTAGTCGTGTCCGACTCCTCAGGACCCCATGGTCCAGAGCACACCAGGTCCTCCTGTCCTCCACTGCCTCCCGGAGTTGGGTCAAATTCATGGTGGTAGCATGTTTCTTATGAGTAGCTCTTAATTCTGAAGGAGATTAAAATATACGTTGTCTAAAATCACTGGAGAAGAGTCTTGTTTATGACTACAGTTTTCTGTGACTGTGGTTACATTTGCAACAAAACCTTCCGTGTCTATAAAAGAGAACTCAAATTGAGAGCACTCGGGAACAAAAATAGAAGTGGCACTGTTTCGAACTCTCTGGGAATGAGACCGGCTTCTGTGGTTAAATGGAAAGAGTTAAGAGCGTCCTCTTGCGTTCCACTGGGAACGTTTCCATCTGCAGGATAATTGATTAAACCTCTACGTACAGTGTATTAGGTTAGAGAGTGAGAGTTACATGCGTGGTGGTGTCTCTAGGCTGAGTTGAATTAGCTTTGCCGTTTTCTCTCCCCACCTCCCGAAATTAAAGTCTCACTTTATGATTTATCTTGTTCAGAATGCTAGAAAGCTGTTCTTGTTTGATTATTATGTATTTGTTTATGTTTTATTATTTGATTTTATATTTGGAAGCCGCCTAGAGTGGTCCGGTGGGCCAGATAGCCAGGGTATAAATTAAATAAATAAATAAATAAAATAATGTTCTTGTTTTTGAATCTTATATTAGAAGCCAAGGCATGCTTACTCTGAAGGAAGTCCCATAGTATGCAACAGAAGATACTCTGGTAAGCCTGACTATATCCTGTGCACTGTGTAGCAATTCAGCCTTACTGCATGATGCAGACAAAGCTAAACGTGCTTTGCAGCACAGTCCGATGCACTTGGAGGTGTTTGGTGTGGTGTGTTAATAATATTCATATTGCAGCCAACATCCTGCTTTCCCATGGACAGTAGTGGGGCTTCAAGATGTGTAACAAATAGTGCCTCTGATTGGGATAATTTCAGCTCCAATACTCAACCATAGGAATGGAAACATAGTATGGAAAGGAGTTTATTTTTAAAAGTTGTGTTTTATACTGCATAAGTTCCACTTTTCTGCATATATATAGAAAGAGAAGTCTATATCATCTGATTAATGGAGTCTTCTAACCCAATGGAAGCTGCCAAGAAAACCTTGAAAGAAGTTAGTTTTCAATATTCACAAAACATACTTGTGGAAACTGAAATTCTGAAAGTGAACAAAGCCCAATGTTACTCTCTCCTCCATTCTTTGCATTGCTTGAAAGCTATCCCTGGATGGTTCCCCTACCATCCAGACAGTTTTTCAGAAGTGTGGTGTATGTGTATCCCCAAGCTCTCCATGCATGAGGGGAGATCAAAAAGCTCCCAGGGATTCTAATCACTGAAGAGGAGAACTCCTTCTGCAGCAACTGTGTAACTTATTAGGGAATTATTTACAGCCAACCACTTGCCCTCAATCAAAGCTTTGTACAAGCTCCCCCAGTCTGAGTACTCCAGGCAGCATGATTTCCCATCCACCCTTGCCTCCCCAAAGTTCACAGAGTCTTCATTTGGGGCATTCAGTCTCACAGTTAAATCCAGGACAGTATCCCACTCAAATCTGTCCTTTGTTCCTTTTGGGCCTGCAGGTTATTCTCTAGCTGCTGGATCTGTTTGAACTAGCACTGCCACCACCAGCACTGGAGTTGCATCAGCATGTAGGTGAACACAGAAGTTTGGTCTACTTGATTCCTCAGCAATGGGCTGTTCTAAGAGGCCACAACCTCAGCTGAGGTGGCGGTTTCAAGCATTGCTCCCTAAGGCTGGGCAGTCAGGGCATACAGATCTTCTGCCTGCTTCAGAAAGAGGAAAGCGCAAAAAATGGTCTGAAGCTCAACATCAAAAAAACTAAGTTCATGGCCACTGGTCCCATCACCTCCTGGCAAATAGAAGGGGGAGATATGGAGGTAGTGACAGATTTTACTTGTCTGGGCTCCATGATCACTGCAGATGGTGACAGCAGGCACCAAATTAAAAGATTCCTGCTTCTTGGGAGGAAAGCGATGACAAACCTAGACAGCATCTTAAAAAGCAGAGACATCACCTTGCCAACAAAGGTCCACATAGTCAAAGCTGTGGTTTTTCCAGAAGCGATGTATGGAAGTGAGAGCTATGCCATAAAGAAGGCTGACTGACGAAGAATTGATGCTTTTGAATTGTGGTGCTGGAGGAGGCTCTTGAGAGTCCCCTGGACTGCAAGGAGATAAAACCTACCCATGCTGAAGGAACTCAGCCCTGAAGGACAGATCCTGAAGCTGAGGCTCCAATACTTTGGCCATCTCATGAGAAGAGAAGACTCCCTGGAAAAGACTCTGATGTTGGGAAAGTGTAAAGGCAAGAGGAGAAGGGGATGACAGAGGATGAGATGGCTGGACAATGTCATTGAAGCTACCAACATGAATTTGATAAACTCTGGGAGGCAGTGGAAGACAGGAGGGCCTGGGGTGATCTGGTCCATGGGGTCACAAAGAGTTGGACCTGACGTAATGACTAAACAACAAAAAGGCCCATTTGAATCAATAAAGCTTACAAAAGAGTTGACTTGCCAAATAATCCAGTGGGCTTGTTCTAGTTCAACCTACTACACTAAACAACAGAATTTCAGCTGTTATACTAATTACAAACACCAGGAGCTACTATCAGTGAAAATATAATTGTGATGTTTTGGTGACAAAACATTGCAGTCCAAGCAAGGCGCATTCTCCTCCCCACTTCAACCCTGTGCATCCCTAAAACTGGCTCTGGAGGACAAAGGAGACTCAAGAACAAAGTTCTGCTGTGTTTGGCAGCAGAAAGTTGGGTGTAGCCCAATATACAAATCTGAAGTTAAACTTTATTTTTTTTAAGGGCATGGAAGACTATTAGGAAGTAATTACTAAATAAAAACTTTAACATATTTTAATGCAAATTTGTTTCAAATTATTTGAAGATACACTTTGTAACAATCATTTTCCATAGACCCGGCACATGAAAAATACTGCTTTGTCTGGAAGATGGCTTTAATTCAGATGAAAGACATAATATTCCAGTATATCTTCTGTACAAATTTAAATACAGTATGGTTGTAATAAAAAAAAAATCTCTAAACAGTGATGTACAGAAGGTCAAATTGATATTATGTTGCATTTAATTTGGCTATTAAACATTATTTTAGGTTTTTTTTCCCCTAACAAGTAGAAAATTCTCATTACACACATACACTTTTTGGCAAGAAAGCATTTCTGTGCCACAGTAACTTCATTAAATATCAACTACTTCCAAATTGTCATTTTCTTTAACAAAGTTTTGGGAGGCTAGTACATTGTTAGAACTATTTTCTGAGTGAGCAGTTGCATTACTTTGAATCCTTTCTGACATCTGTTTCCCTGTGACATGGAAAAGTCCAGTCATAGGTCCTATCCTGGTTTCTTCAGTGTTTTGAAATGAGTGGTCATTTACAGCAGAAGTCTCTACATTTACACCATTCTGTATAACAGAAACTGGAGTATTAGTTTTACTGCAACATTTGCCCATTATTTTATTATCATTGAGATATTTGAAAGGATATTTCCTTCTATTGAAATACAAGATTAGTTATCATGTCGATCATCGAATTATTGTACAAAACCTCTGAAAGGGAAAAAATGCATTTTAGAACATATGTGTATTAAATTAATGTGTTTTGATCCTATAAACTGGATTTTGCAGCTATAAGAAATACAGTACTAAGATGCATACACTTCAAATGCAGTGGATACTTGGCATGTACTCTTTTAACTTGCAGCCAGAATTCTCCAGGAATTTCCTAGAAAGAATTCTGAGAGTTTTAGCTCATGAACACATCTGTAGACACCTATATTTTAGGTGTATGGTCATACGGAGAACAGCCTGCTTCCAAGGCTCCATGGTCTTCTCTAGGGTTTGCTTTCCGTTGCTAATGTAAAACAAAACAGAAAGAGAGCTGCTATGGTACTTCCCATTTAGAGGGTGGCTGCCAAAGAATTAGGACTCCAGGGATGTGACTGCAGGATGAAACTCCCAGAATTCTGCCTGGAAAATTCTAGGAAGATACATAAATGACAGTGAGGTTCAAGGTTGTAAGCTGTCATTCTGATGGAATTTGTATATTATTCTTCTGATAAGAAATTGATAAAGCACAGAACAAGCTGGTGTGCAGCTAGTGCTAGCCCTTATAGTTTTAGAGTTTTTACTGTATTTGCATATTGATAAACTGTTCTCATTTATTACACAATGTTGTTTATTGTGGCTTTTCTTTTTCCTTATTGGTTCCAGTAATTTTGGTTTTGTCACACTGAAATAAAAATCTTCAAAATGCTACAATATTTTACCTACCCCCCCCGCCCCCAATTTCCTTTTCTTTTGCAAGCATCCTGAGACAGACTTACACAGCTACTTTTGTGGAAATTTCTATTAAAAAAGGAATTTACAAGACATATTGATAAATACAAAACTGATCATAGTAGTAGTGCATAATATTCTTTGCTATAACTATATAATTTTCCCTATTCCACCTACTATTCCACCATCCACTTTCTGTGACAAATGCCATAGATCAGTTTTAAGGTATATTATTTTATATGATATCATAGAAAATCAATTGCTACCAACCTGTCAGATAATCATCCAGAATGGAAGGATTTTTTGTGATGTGGCCTTGGGGCTGTATGAAATATAGCTGGTGTCCTTCCTCCAGTCTTTTAAAGAAGGATTGTTGTTATCAGCGCTCAATTCCCGAAGAGCATTATCTTTCTGAAAATAATTGTGTGTATACAAGAAGTCTCCTGGATACAAATTCCCTCTGCTAAAAGGAACAGATGTGAAAAGGCTTGAGGTATCTTTCTCCCGCCTTACTTCAGCCGATTACCTTGAAAAGTTTCATAGAACTTGTAGAGAATCTTTGTTGCCTTTAATAGGAAAAAATGAGTGTGGTAACAATAGAAATGTTTCCAGAGATACAGTATTTTACCAACAACTGAGACCTACAAGAAAGTGTTTCAGTGGAGTAGTTCAGTATTCTAGCCTTTGTGATCATGGTATCTCCCCTGCCAGATTTAGACAAATAAGACTTGAAACAAAATATTGCCATGTGGAGAGTTCCTGTTCAGGTTTCTAGCTCCTTCATGCCATTTCTTGGAACATTTTCTGCATCCCTTCCCAAGAATCAGCACTGTGCTGCTATGAAGCTCACTGGACTGTCTCTGGGATTCCCCTGTTAAGGTCTCCCCACAAAACTCCTGAGGATACTTCCTTCTTATGTGTGGATAGTGCACAAATACACGGTCAGGGAATATGTTCACTGTTATTTGTGTTGTATGACTTTTCCTTCTGCTCTTCAGCTGGAAAAACATTACAGACTAGGTTACACATCACTTAACAAAAAACAAAACAGCCCATGCCAAAAAGGAACAGTGAGTGAAGATGCTACATAGAGCTCAGCCACTGTGTCACAACTTACAGTTCTTATAGCAACTGAATGGATGGAAGATGTTCAAAAAGCTTGATGGTTATTGCTAGGTAGTAGTAGAGGGAGAGGATGTGAAAGGCAACTGTCTATTCCGTTCTTATTCAAGAGAGTGACTAGTGACAATAACAAAAAGACCAAGAAATCATAAAACATATAACATACAGAAAGCTAGAATGCATTGGTCACATTAATGAGCAAAGTACAGGTACTTAAAATTGATCATTCAGTATAAAAGAATTGGTGACATGAAGTGCTAGTGGGAGAAAAATGTATTGGCTTAATAATGTAACACAATATTTGCATTTAAAATGGCCAAAGTCAAAGTCAGAATAGCCATGACATTCTCTGATAAGACAAAGATAATTCAGAACAAAAAAGTTAAATAGCTGTGTCTCCCTTCTCATTGTATACATAAATGATGATATATTAGGAAATGTTAACTTGTTCAAAGTGATCCAAAACTATCTCTTGTCCTGAACAGAAAATTGACATTTTCTATGACAGAAACTTATTAGATATTAAGGCTGAACACAGCGGTGACCTGTTTCCAAGTAACTGTTGTGTTATGTACCATCATGTCAGAATTTACTTATAACAACTCTAACTGGGTTTTCAAGGTGAGGACTCAAAGCTTCCTAAGCCCTAGTTCATTACTCTATCCACTACAGTACACCACACTGGGTGTCTTCCAAATAAATATACAAAAAATTAACAACTCTAACTGGGTTTTCAAGGTGAGAACTCAAAGCCTCCTAAGCCCTAGTTCATTACTCTGTCCACTACAGTACACCACACTGGGTATCTTCCAAATAAATATACAAAAAACTAACCAATCCTGTAGATCTCTTATATGTAAATACTGTACTGTACTCCTGCTAGCTATCATACAGCCATAAACTTAGTAAATCCAGTGAATAGTTTTGTCTTCTTGTGTGCTGTATTTGGCTACGATCCTACAATTTGGATATACGAGTATGAAATAAAACCTGGCTTGGGAATTGTTTTCATTATTTTGTTTTTGGAAAACCCACCGCATGATCCTTGTGTCCCACAATCCCATGTCCATTCATAGCTGGCAGAATTCTGTTCACTAGCAAGTAGCAACAACAAAGAAAGTGTTAAAGAAAAAGGATGTCCTGTATTTGAGAAACAATGGGAAAATGGTCTGCAGTTCTTGGTAATAAGACATCCAAGATAGTTTTCACTTCAGAAAGAAGAGAACAGATCATAGGTTAATCTTTTTTCACAACGATTAATCAATTCTATGGGTGCCTAGAGTTTCACAAAAATATAGGTGAGGGAGCAGAGGCTTTCTCAAAATACTCTTCTATAGATTTAATCAGTTGTCAAAATTGAACAGATGATTCAACATCTTCTTTTAAAATGTAGCCTTTTTGATTTAAAAGAATCTGGAGCTTCTATTATTCAATTTTCATTATTATCCCGCCTTACGGTGTTAGCCCAGGCTTTCCCTGATGTTGGGAAAACGTGAAGGCAAGAGGAGAAGGGGACGACAGAGGAGGAGATGGTTGGACAATGTCACCAAGATGAATTTGACCCAACAACGGGAGGCAGTGGAAGATAAGAGGGCCTGGCGTGCTCTGGTCCATAGGGTCACAAAGAGTCGGACACGACTTAACGACTAAACAACAAAAGCCGCACGAAGCCTCAACATTGTCAATTTCGCGTTTTCTATTTCTCAACAGCGTAAACATATTATCCAAAAGGGCACAAAACCAGACGCTTCTATGGCGGGGAACCCATGCTGAGGCAGACCCCCGAGGTGATGTGAGAACGTCTCCACCGCCACAGCGACCCCACCCCCGTCCCTTCCCACTCGGGCTCGCCTCCGACCGGGCGGCCACTCCGGCGCCCTTCCTCCTCCCCTCACTAGAACTCCGCGAGGAACTGGAAGACAAGACAGACGACGACCCATCCCTCCTGGTCGCCGCGCGGCGTTCGAGCGCCAGCGACGGTTGTCCAGGCGGGAGAGCCGCCGCGCGTGCGCGCCACCGTGAAGGCGAGGGAGGGGTTAGAAGAGGGACCCCCGCGAGACTTAAAAAAAAAAAGCTTACAGGTAACGAGAGCCCAAGGAGGCGGGGGGGAGGAAGAGGGTGGCGAAGAGAGCGAGACGCTGTGTTGCTAAGGCGACGCTGAGAGGCGGGGCGAAGCCAAGCGAAGAAGAAGACATTATTGTGGCCGCTCGTTCCATGAGGCGGCAAGCAGTCCCGAAGAGAACCTTGGGGGCAGAACTGGACTTTTGTTGTTGTTTTGAATCATTGTGGGGCCGGACGTCAAGGGGGCCGGGCAGGAGAGAGGGACCCCCTCCCTAGTTTAGGTGGGTTTATGGTTGCCTCTGCCGGCCCCCGCCTTGCCCAGGTGTGACCGGGCAGAGAGGGGGAGGCGAGTGTTGCCCCCGGACGGCTCATTGGGCTGCCCGGGCTGGAGAGGGAAAAAGAAGGTGAAGCGGCGGTTCAGGTGGAGAAAACAGCCCGAAACGCTTTGGAAAGGCAAACAGGAGTCTTTCTGGAGCGAACAGTTTCGCTGCCAGCATGACCTCCAGAAGGTACCCTGGGCGCAAGAAGAAAAAAACAGATTTTCACGCCAAGGTACAAAGAGAGTGCCAGGCAGGCTGCTGAGGTATTTCTAGAAGTTTTGGGATTAATGACAGAGAGTGGAGGAATTGGGGCAGTAGGTATGGCTGAAATGGGGACTCCTTCGTTTTATGAACGCCTCAGGGTTAATAAGGTTGTGACCCTGAAAATCCCGTAAAGGTTGGTAAGTGGCATTTTAGGGGCCGGAGTTGGCAGACAAAGAAGAGCATCGACAAGAAGGGCCCACCCTTGTCCTTGGGGGATATTTTTCCATTGGGATTGTTTTAAAAACCATTTTTAATCCTATAAAATAGTTATGACAGATCTAAGGAGTTTCTGTGAATAGCATTATTCAAAAAATAAATATATTTGTCGCATTGAGGGACATCCCTTGACGGCATTACCCTGAATGTTAAAACAGCTGAATTCTAAATCAAAACAAATACTACTGCCATGGTGACTGACATCCTGTGTTGTCTGACAAAGTGCAAAAGCCTACAAAACAATCTAAAATGTATATGTGATACATGGGTATCATATTTATTAAATATTATAAATGGAATTTACTGAAATTCTAGTTTAGTTTTTAAAAGTAATTCATTATCAAATGTTTACATTTTGTATAGTAAATTTCAAACTAATTTTAATTATAACAAAGGGTGCATGAAGCCTGCCTGCTTACATTGTATCTGATTCATTTAAACTTACTTACGTATAGTCATACTTCAAACTCCTTTTGACATAACATTTACATCATAGTTTAAAATTAAAAATAAATGCAGAAATTTAGTATGTTATATTAAGTTTAATAAATACATCCAAGTAACTTTTGTTATCCCCGAAAAAACTAAAAATGTAACTTGCGATACAAAAAGAAGTATAAAGAAGATGAGCATCTCTTGTGTCATACTGCCCTTAGAATTTCTTTACATCCCACATTTTGGGAACCAAAGAGCTTAGAGGAACAGTAACTATTAGTTGTACAGTACTTTACATACATGGGGCTTTCTGTGAGTTTACCATGGGGCCTCAGGCAGGTCACAAAGAGTCGGAGCATAGTGACAGTCAGCTTCGTTGAACAACTGTTCCCTTTCTTAGGTGGTTGGACTTCAAGTAAGCAGGTGTACAAAGGGACTGTTGCACGAGTTATATCTGGTTTAAACATCAGATTCATAAAGAATCTGTTCTTTATTAATGATAATCAATTATCTGTCAATTTTTAATGATATTTTACCCAGACTTGCTATTGGTCATTATAATGGTTCCATTGAACAATCAGTTTTCCTTATTTCAGCTTCGTTGAACAACTGTTCCCTTTCTTAGGTGGTTGGACTTCAAGTAAGCAGGTGTACAAAGGGACTGTTGCACGAGTTATATCTGGTTTAAACATCAGATTCATAAAGAATCTGTTCTTTATTAATGATAATCAATTATCTGTCAATTTTTAATGATATTTTACCCAGACTTGCTATTGGTCATTATAATGGTTCCATTGAACAATCAGTTTTCCTTATTTTTTCTAAAAGATATTATCAATCACTGTATTTTTTAAATTAAGAGTCCCTGAGAAGTTAGTATATATTATTTCTAGCTGTTATGGATTATGAAACATGGGACAAGTAACGTCGATTTACTGTGGTAATGTATCTAAATAATTAACTTCAGTGTTTTTACAATTTACTATAAACCCTATTTTCCTGTCTTTAAATATTTTAGTAAGAGGAAATAATTCAGCAGCAGTGGCAATCAGTTTGACTTGCTATCCTGTGCACACTCACCAAGTATCACAGACGTGGACTCTGGTTCAGCTTCCTGGTCAGTGCAAGAAATCCAGGGCTAAAGTAACTCTAGTGGCTGTCCAACCTCTTCTTGTAAACATCCAGGAACAACAAGCCCATATCTCTTCTAAATTATTGGTTCCATTGTCAAATTACTCTTGCCCACTGAGAAGCTCTTCTTAAACTTTAAACAAAAGTGATCTTCCTATAACTTAAGACCATGGCATCTGCTGTATTCTGGAGCAATACACAAGTCTTTATCTTATTCTTTACATCCCACAGTTTGAGAACTAAAGAGCTTAGAGGAACAATAACCATTAGTTATACTTTACATACAGGGAGTCAGGGAACCAGCTGGCTTGGCCTTAAAGGTCTCACTGAAAAGCTATAGATCTTACCCCCTCCTTGTTACCGAACAGACACAGATGGTTACAATTCTCAGCCAACTTTCCCAGACACACAGAGAACTCTGATTTTTCAAGATTGATTCCATGTTTCCAAATTTCTCATTTTCTTCATAGATTTACTTTCAAATAAACAACTTACAGCTAATTGCAAATAAATCCTTTTTTACCCCATAAGTATTTGTTGTTGTTTTTGTTCAGCCAATAAGGGCTACTGGTTTTGGGGAGCTGTCAAGCAATTCATGTATGTTTCTGTCCTCCTTGTTACGGAACAGACACCGATGGTTACAACTCTCAGCCAACTTTCCCAGACACACACAGAGAACTCTGATTTTTCAAGATTGATTCCATGTTTCCAAATTTCTCATTTTCTTCATAGATTTACTTTCAAATAAACAACTTACAGCTAATTGCAAATAATCCTTTTTTTACCCCATAAGTATTTGTTGTTGTTTTTGTTCAGCCAATAAAGGCTACTGGTTTGGGGGAGCAATTCATGTATCTTTCTGCTGAATGTAGGAATGAGAAACACAATAGAGTGAAATGGTTTTTTGTCTTATTTCTCTAGAAAGTGACAACAAAAGAAGAAAATGTGTTAAGAGATCCATTTTCTCAAAGTGAGAAAACTCTAATATCAGAAGATAGTCCTTGCAACAACAAAAAAGTCGATCAAAAACTGCAGTCAAAGGTCACATTTTTGTACTTTTATCAATTTGTAATGGTCAGATCGTAATACATTATATTACAACATTTATTTAAGCAAAATTGGTCTGCTGTGAGATTATGGTTTTCTGTTCCTGAAAAGAAACCAGAACAAAATCAGGGCATTTGAGAAATGATGGGAGTTATATAACAACATTTAATTAATCTGGGATGACATTTTGTTATTATGACTTAGTATCCCTATCCACTAACAGGTCCTCCCTATAAATGTAAAAGTTGACATGAATCCATTAGGGACAACTTTTGAATACATCATTTCAATTCAGATTCGAAATGTAATTCTTTGCTGTCTAGCACAGCTACACATATTCCTGGTATGACCCAACTTTAGTAGATAGGCAGTTTGAAAGCACATAGTAAGTCAAAGGAGGGATGTGAACTACCTCCTTGTCTGCTTCTCTCTTATTTCCCTCAAGCTGCTGTGCCCCATTTTTGTTGCTGCTTTGTTTTGGTATTGTTTGCTGATAGGTTTGCTTCTAGTTTGGAACTCTTCCAGCAGGTAAACAAAGGGACAATGGGGGTATGTGAGAGAGTTTGAATTCCTTCTCCTGCCTGTTTTTGTTGCCAGTTAAATTTTTCTCTATCCTTCTGCCTTGTATAAATCACTAATGAGCCAGCTCTTACACAGAAGTTACTTGTAGATTGGTCCTACAATTTTTTTTTGTAATCTGTGCATTACTTGGATTTATAAACAATACAGCACATTAGACCCATGAGAAGTCATTGTCTCACATATCCCAAGAGCTGGTGTTATCCTGATTTTGTTGTTTTTTCTAATCTGGGGAGAGGGAGGCTGGGTTTAAACACCCAGAGTAGTGAACATCACTAAATTGGGCAGTATATAAAGATATGAAATAAATAATTAAATTCAACATCCAGCTGCTTTATACTTGAGAGCTTTGTTACACTGAGGTAGAGCTTATATAGGAAATATTTAACTTTTCAGATATTTTGGAACTCCCAGAAGCCATAGTCATATGGTCAATGGTAAAGGGATTATGGAAATTGTGGTCTAAGACATCTGGAGGTTTGGTTCTCCTCTGATGTAGCATAAAAGTAACTATACAACATAATTTCAGCCACTGTTTGTTTGAACTTAAACAAAGGCTGTGAAAATTATTGGCCCACTAATTTTAGTACATTCAGTACAGTTGTATTTTATGCAGTACTAGTTCAGCTCTCTTTGCTGAGGTCATAGGGTTACAACTTAACTCCAGTTTCACCATCACTGCCTATACATCATCTGCACCATTTGATTCAGTTTCATATTGAGGCAACTTAGCATTCCTTCATTATTACTGATTACTTTTATGAAACAATTGAGTTTTTTTTACAAATAGGAAAATTTCCAGACTGGAATTTTTCTAGAAAATATTCCATCTTAGTTAATTTTCAGCAGAAAATTTTCCATCCACATCATTAAGTAACACTGACTGAATACACTACAATCACTGTAAATCCTGTAAATCCAGACAGCCTTTTCTCTTAGACTAGAGAGCAAGGTATCCAAATTAGGTAGCATGGCTTTGGGCCTTCAAGGTTAGCAGCAGGACATGAGCCATGCAAACTACAAAAACTGCCTGCCAATAAACCAGCACCACTACTTCTTACAAGATATTCCTTGTACTTTATCATTGATAGATTGCCTTAGTTTACTACTACTAATAATAATCTTAGAACTGCAGAGCTGGAAGGGTCATTGAGTTCAGCCCCTGTGAAAGAAGCACTGTGGGGAAATGAACTCTCAACTCTGGCTCTGCAGTCAGATACCTAAACCACTGAGCTATCTTTTAGTCTCTTAATCATGTCTGAACTCTCTTTCAATAGACTTCACCCTAATCATGGGCAGGATTCCCATGAATCTCCTCATCACTAGGGAGTCTTATACATACTCACTGTACTCAATTCTGGCAAGATTTCAGAGGAAAGATTTTTTTTTATTTTTTTATCCTCTTTTTTTTTTAATAATCCAGATCGAACATCTAACAGTAAAAAAACTTGATTTGGAAAACCATGTTATGAAACTGCTTGAGAGAAAGGTGGAAGTAGCAACTCAAGTGGACAATCTGGCCACTGAAAATGAATATCTGTGTCAAGAACTCAAGTATATAGACAAGATAGCAGAAGAACTGGAAAAAGAAAAAGAATTTGCATTGGAGAGTGCTGACCAGGAACTTTCAGAAGCTAAGGTTCTTATACTATTAAATGAAATGCTTTAAAAGTGTAGTCCTTTCATAATCTGCTTTTTCCACGTGATTGTTTTTTTAGCTGGAGAGGCTCTGGACATAATCTAACACTGTTGAATGCTCTGTGTAGTTGTAAGAGTTCACATATGTGGAACTAATTTTCACATAATGTTTGAAATGCTTTTGCAACTGAATTGTTATGAATTTATATTTTATTAATTGACTTTGAATTATCAAGTCAATACATATAGTGGCTTTGTGTAGATATTAAATAGCACTGGAGAGGAAAAGTGCCAGGGGGCCAACACAGATGGCTCCAGTACTATTCTCTGGAACATTACTGAAGGTAAACTAGCATGAGAAGAATCATACAACCCTACTTGAGTTTTTTTGGAGGGAAAAGTGAGATGTAAGTTTAACCACCAAATAATATCACCATGTAAACTGGTGCCTCTGCAGTCACAATTCAGGATCCACCAGTCAAACTATTTTGGGTTTTTCAAGTAAGCCATGACAAATAATGGCTGAGAAGATGTATAGATGTTTGAACAGGTAATGGATGTTAACACTGAAAATCATTTTCCTCCTTGCCTTGAAAATGAAATCTGGTGTCATGTACTTACATCTCAGTTCATTTGCCAGGCATGACAATAACCCCGTAGTTACCATGCTATTTGAAAGATAGCTTGGAGTGAGATGCCAGACAGTAATTAAAATAAAGGAGAGAAGTTCAGTCTCTACTTTCTCTTTTCTCACTTTCCATGTAGTTGATTGGAAACAGACAAAAATAAATGCTGTGTTCCCAAATTCAGTCCTCAAAATGGTGCAAGCTAAACCCATGCCTGCCTAAGGAGCAGAATTAAATGGAGTAGCACACTGCATATGTATTTGAATTTGCAGCACAGTGCTTATGCAACATGTTACATGACAGATAGCTGTATTCCTCTGTACAGTATTACACTTCACCTTATATTGTCTATGCAGTATCATTACACAGATGTGCATTAATAGCAACTGCTATTAATAGTCTTTCTGAGGCTGTCAGACTATTCTGATGTTTAGCATAAAGTGTAGATAAATCTTTATTATGATCAACAGATCAAATAAATCATTATAATTCCAGATACTTGACATGGCTTTGATCTGTGCTTTCTTGATGTCAGCTTGTGCATGTTTACTTCATATTTCCTTGCTGAACACCATATCTCTCTTATTCATAAATTCCTTTAGTTACAGTTCATGACTTGTCAAAGGATATAAAGTGACTTAATTTGCATGAGAAAGCATGATCCTTCTAAATAAATTATCAAGGCAGGGTACATCTGCTGTTAAATATGTAGAATATGATTCTGTGGTTCTTGCACATTTGGGAACAAGAATGAGTGGGACACTGATTTCTTACATGTAAATATTTTTCTTCTAATTTTAGTCGCAGATTAAATGCCAGCAAAATACTATACGGAAACTGGAACATACAATCAACATTCTTAGATCCGTAAGTTACAAATGACTGCTTTTATTGGTTCAGCCAAGTCATTTTTATATTGCAAAAAGCATTTTAGATTAAGAAGACTGATATGTACTATGCAACCATGTGTACTCTCCCCAGTAAATTAATTGAAAACATTCTGCCAAGGAGATAAGTACAGCCTTGTCTCTTGCTCCCTATGGAGGTTGAAAACACAATCTATATGTTTGGCATCAGATCTTGTTAGCAAGTTCCTGCCCTCAGAAGGCACATCCCTGTTTATATCCTTTGAGATTGGTGGATCCAAATGACTCTCTGTTCTCCAAGTTTATCCTTCCCATTCTACCACATTAAAAAAAGGAGCTGTTCTGTATGTGGAATGGCCTTATTCTGAACAATGAAGTTCATCCTTACATTTTCATTTTTATCTAATGCTGTTTAGAATCCTAATTATCTCAATTAGAGCCTGACTGGAGAGCATGGAAAAGCACGCTAGTTTCACTGAATCATCTGATAGATCACTATTAATATTAAGTAAACATATCAGAACAAGGTTTAGGTCAGTCGGATTCACATTTTCCCCTTGATCATATAGTGCAACAAGAAATATAAATCAGCCCAGAATCCTCAGTTTAACTCACATCAGAGACCCTTCTACTTTTTAAAAAATCATATCCTTTTCCTTTGGTTTAAAGTGTATGATTACTTCGAACCAATGCAGAAAGGAAAGACCAGTTGAGTACATGCATGCACACACAAAGCACCTTTCCCCTCACCTCTTGCCTCACTAGGGAGGGCAAGACTTCTGAGCAGATGGTTTTGTTTAATGAAATGAACTAACTCTGGCCTAACGGGAGCTACATTAATGGGAACATGCAGGGAAGGGCTGGACTTCATGAAAGAGGTGCATTTTCAGAAAGGATTTCAAGAAAGACAGGTTTATGTATATATTATAGCCCTTAATTGTATGCATGAGAGGTGACAAACATGAAAAAGCTAATCATATATCACATTTCTCTCACCATCCTATCTAGAATACACACTGGACAAATGAAACTTATTAGTTAGCATTAATATCATTGTTTTCAATGGGTCTGCTCTAGTTGGGAATAAAATTGTATTTAATATTACAAGCTAGCCTCTTCCTACTACCTTTTTGTCCTCCTCTTTCTCCTTTCATGTTCCTGATTTCATATAGACTTCCTACTCTTATAATTGTTGTTTCCTGTGATGTTTGAATTGAAAACGTGGAGTTACAATTCAGAACCAAATGATGGCTTGCTGTTCTCCTTTGTATTGTATGTTCAAACCATTGTTCCTCGATTCAAACATCCCGACAAACTCTGGTTTGATAAACTAGGAAATTTTGTATTAAATTGAGAATGAGAACAGAGCAAACAATGAAGCCATGGCTCTCTGGAATGAGACAGAGTTGTTTTCTCCTGTTCTGATGTTTTTACTTAATATTAATAGTGATCTATCTCTGTAGATGATTCAGTTAGACTATCATGTGCTTTTCCTTGCTCTCTAATCATGATTATGAGATCAGCTTCACATTATTGTCTTTTAGTTTGGCTAGAAAAACATTACTTAGTAAAAATTTGTACTGTATTTTTCCTTAGAAAATATGTTGGGATTAGCTGCAAGAGTTATAATAATGCTTCTAATTTTGGCATTTGAAAGGCTCTTATGGACACTGAAAAAACACAAGAGAGGCAGTCCTCACGGCACCATAATGTTATAAAGACAAAAGAAGATGAGAGAGATTATTATAAAACTGAAGCTCAGCATTGGAAGATGCTTCATAAAACTTCTTTAAGTCCTAAACGCAAACCCTCTTGTTCTGTTTCCAAAGCTTCCTCTCCGCTTCAGGTAAATCATCTAACCTATTTTAAATATGGATTTTATGCATTTACTAGAAGCTGACTTGTGGATCACTTTCAAAGTACATATATATTTTGATGTATGTAATTTAATCTGCACAATATAGTCTTTTAATATCTACCCAGAAGCAAGGCATTGGGACTTATTCTGTGAAAGGAAAGTCCGATGCTGCAAAGAAAAATACTGCATAGGAACCTGGAATGTAAGATCTATGAACCTTGGGAAGCTGGATGTTGTCAAACAGGAGATGGCAAGAATAAACATTGACATCCTGGGTGTCAGTGAACTAAACTGGAATGGGCGAATTCAATTCAGACAATTATTATATCTACTATTGTGAGCAAGAATCCCATAGAAGGAATGGAGTAGCCCTCATAGTCAACAAAATAGTGGGAAAAGCTATACTGGGATAGGTAAAGGTAAAGGTTCCCCTTGACAATTTTTTGTCCAGTCGTGTTCGACTCTAGGGGCCGGTGCTCATCCCCGTTTCCAAGCCATAGAGCAAGCGTTTTTGTCCAAAGACAATCTTCCGTGGTGACATGGCCAGTGCGACTTAGACGCGGAATGCTGTTACCTTCCCACCGAGGTGGTCCCTATTTATCT